GCTTGTGACAAAAATATTTGCTTCGACTTTGACAAAGAAAATTGTATTATTACCATCTAGGCTTTAATTTTTTATGTTCGCACTTGGTACAAAGATTGCTTATGGTCCGCCGGTTTTAGATGACTTAAAATAAGGTTATTTCAGCAAATTCAGGGTCACTGGCAGAAAAAGTTGTAAAATGCCTGTCTGGGATATGAATTACTAAGGGGGGATCACTAGAACCTCTTTCTTAAAACAGAGATTGTTTGAGATTGAGGGTTTGTCTTGACACCGCAGGGATTTATCAGTACCTTCTCAGGAGCCGAAATTCGGCCCCATTCCCAACTGAAAATGAGTTCAGTTTTTCCCAATTTGGCAGTATTTTTTCCCAATTGGTGAACAATGCTTTTATATATAATTATCTTGGAAAAACACAAAGTAAAATTCTCAGAATGTCTGTAATTTTCATCTAACTCATTTAGCAAAACTACGGTCATACAGTGGCTGCAACCTTATTGTTGACAAACCAATCGTGTAGAATCGTTCGTGTAACGTGCGTGATCGTTCGTGTAACGTGCGAGATCGTGCGTGTATCAGACTCAATCGTTTGCGGTTTTAATCGTGCGTGATCGTGCTTTAAGAAACGTGTAAATTTCGTTTTGTAAGTTTTTATCGGAATGTTATTTGTTATACAAGCATTTCTCTTCTCTCTCTCTCTCTCTTTTTTTTAACCAAATAAGATAAATGAAGCACGATTAACATAATTGAAAGCAGAACAAACTAATTATAGCTTGGAAATAAGCAATATAGCAAGTCGTGCAATATTGTGTTCTCGTCAAATAGCGTGATTTTTGTGATAAACCGTGTTTAGATGTTTAATGATTTTTTCTCTGATGTTAATTATGTTTACTGCTAATTATGGTCAAGATATTTTTAAAATCAATAGATTAAAAAAATAGATATTTTTACAAATGAATAATAAACAATTCTCAATGCTTACATAAATATTTAGTCGGCGAATGTACATGTACACTATATGATTGTCCGGGTTTCGTTTATCAATATTTATCTCTGGAGCTTACTTTTAATTATTTTATGATTTCTGCAAATAAATGATTTGAAAAATAATTGTTGATTTTAGAGATTTACAAATGGAAACATGGATATAACTTATAATATAATTCATTTTCATGCCATTTTTTTCCACAAACATATCCCTTTCTGCATATTATGAAGTCCAATTCAATCAAACCGCACGGTCCACCTACATATACATCTTCTGATAGAACGAAAAAAAAAATCAATTTTCTTAAGTCGGAGAATTATGTAAATAATTATTTGTAATCTAAAATATATAAAGGTCTTAAATGTATTTAGTTCTAGAAATATCCATTTCTATTTTTTTTTTTTTTTTCATTTTTCAAAGTCGATGAAATAATACCAATAATTATTTGAAATCTAAAATAAGTATTAAGCCTTATTTCGTTTTAAAAATATGCATTCCTAAAGAATTTAAACTATTTTGCATGAAGAATCGCGCGTTTGCGTTAGCAATCGTGTAAGATCGTGTAACGTGTAGAATCGTGTGCGTGAAGGATCGTTCGTGTAACAGATTTTATCGTGCGTTAATCGTGCGGAATCGTTCGTGTAACGTGATCGTTCGTGTGACTTGTCAACAATAACGTTGCAGCCACTGTAACACCTTTAAAAACACTGTAAAAACATCGCCAACTTTTCATCCGAATTTCCTCAGTTTTTCTGAAAATGGTGATATTGTGTAATTATATAAATTTATTAAGTTATTTCTACCTACTCAATTGATCTATGAGTGAATGGTAAGGACTGTAGGCATTATTTCAAATAGAAAAGTATATTTTCAATGCGTTAATATTAATGCATAAAAATAATAATAATATAAATTAACATATTAAAATAGGACTTTGAGAAAATGTGTACTTAGTATAATTTTTGCAGAAGGTTTTTAATCTCCAGAAACAGATTCTATAATGACCTAAATTGGAATATCATACACTTATGTACTACCCGAAGTTGTATAAACACTTTATACTCATTGAAGTCAATTTTACTTTTATTAGTCTATTATTCATAATTGATCTTGTATGAAGTTGGATCATATTAAATTGTCAGTTTGGTTGCCCAAATTAGAGTTTATGCTGAAATGTTAAATGATTTACATCTGAATACATGATCTAAGGAACAATTTTAATTTTTCCCAATTTCATCAAAAAGCCGATAATTTTTTCCCAATTCAATGAAACTGGCGTTTCCCAAAATAGGCTGATAAATCCCTGGTCTCGGGACTAGTTAGAATAATCTAACTGTGTCTCGGGACAAGCCCTCACCACAGTTAGAATACATCCAATATACTTGCAATGTAGCAAATCAGAGTGGATCCACTCCGAAATGATTTTGAAGAGTACAAAAGGAGTTGCACTGTAAATAACTACCAAATTAATCGTAACAAACTTTTTTATACCCCCCGCAAACTAAGTTTAGGGGGGGGGGGTATATTGGAATCAGCTTGTCCGTCTGTCTGTCCGTCTGTCTGTAGACGAGATATTGTCTAGACCATTTCTTGGAAACTGTTGCAAGGATTTGTCTGAAAATTTGTACACTTATTCTTCGCCATATGAAGGTGTGCACCTGGTATTTTCATCATGATTGGATAATTTTTTTGCATTTTACAGGTGTTTTTTTTTCATTTTTATTATGTGGTTTTGTCCGGATCTGTTCCCAGAGACTATTGCATAGATTTGTATGAAAATTTGTACACTTATTATTTACCATATGAAGATGTCCGCCTGATATTTTCAACATTATCTGATAATTTTTCTGCATTTTACAGGTGTTTTTTTTTTTTTTTCATTTTTATTGACATAGTCATTTCGGATTCATGTCTAAGGTTTGAGACATAGAGTCTAGAACATCTGTACAAAAATGTGAACTACAGCTTAAAACTACTCATTAGAACTAAAAAAAAAAATCACAAAGTATTAAAAACAGTTTTTACATGACACAGTGCTCAGATAGTGTAAATCCATTTGTCCCTTTGGAGTAATGAGTGGACATGCATCCAGTTAAAGATTAATTAATGAGTTCAGTGTGGGAACCTCTTAGGGTATCTCTGATCAAGCAAGTCTTATCTATATCTCCTGGGAATTGGGCAGAAAGAAATAAAGATCTCTGTTGTCTAAGTCTCTTAATTGTAATTTATGTCTGTCAAAATACATAGTTACTGGAACCAGCCTTTTATTTTTAAAATGAGTTTGATATAAAGGTATTAAGATCAATTTGATTTTGTATAATTAATTATGATATTTTTTTTCAACAATCAATTTGCAGAGTGTCATATCTCACAAAGATGACAGAAACTTGCAACCTATTTTTTCAATGTAATTAAAAAACACTGTAATTACTAGCATTGATGTTTTATTAGGCTGCACCTTAGTTTTATTCATTAAAAAAAATATAATGAGTAATTAAATTTTCACTCTAAATGTTTAAGCAAATTGTGAACACCTCTCACATCTAGAAAACATAAGTGATTTGGTACCTTCTCTGAAAAACCCAGCGGGGGGTATTTGTCCCTTTTGGACAGTTCTAGTTGATTTTGTATATGTCTTTTAACGTAAAAAATAATCCGTTCTAAATACGAAAATTCAACTCATTTTCTCAACGTTTTTTCCTCGCTTCAAATTTAACGCCATGTTGACATTCGGAACTCTCTGGATTGTTCATAGAAAATGCACAGAGTACGAGTTATCACCCGTGTTTATTTTGCAACGTTGCCAATACATGGAACGAATTCTATCGTTAAATCGGGTCCGTAAGACAATATCATTTTAACGATTGAATGTTTTATCTATCTCAGGACAGGCCCTCACTACAGTTAGGATGCTTCCCATATAACCGCAATGTAGCAGAAAATTGCAGAATAGCTCCAAAACAATTTCAAAGAAAACAAGTGAAGTTGCATTGAAATTAACTATCAAATTAATGATAAGACGCCTTTTTGAGACTGTGGATACCTTTCACCCAAAAATTTAATTCATGTAATAGAAGAATTCAACACTTTTTTCTCAACATTCTTTATTCATTTCAAATTTACACACTATATTGACATTAATTCTCTGGATTTTTCATAGTAAATGCACGGAGAATTTTCCCTGTGTTTACTTTGCTACATTGCCAATATACAGAACGAATTCTATCATTTAACCGGGTCTGTAGGACATTTTTCATTTTAACAATAGAATACTGTACGTGTACGTAAATTGGCGTATTCAAAATTTAGCGCAATCAAGGGGTATGGAGTTGTTGGTGTAATCATAAATAAGCGCTACACATGTCCGTGCCATGTATTGTGTTAATAAATGATTTATTAGCGCTATTCATGAATTAGTGCATCGTTGTCCATGCCAAAGCCGCTAAAATATGAAGCCCACTTTTTTAAGTATACATACAGTAATCTATGAGTTCTGTGGATTTTGACAACCCTCGCAGTGTTTTCCCTTTCAGGTAAAGGTTTAGAGATCAATTGTAACAGGCTAGAGGCTGAGGTTTATGGACAAAATCTCTGTGAACTTTACAACAATTATATTAAATATTTTTATTTATAAGTGGCATTTCTGTCAGCTCAAGCGGTCAATTTGGCCGGTAGCCGGTTCTTAGGGAAAACACTGCCTTGTGTAAAATCAGTGTGCGAAATTAACGCCTGTCCGATGGTCCGAATCTATTTCAAGTTTAATCAGGCTACACTGATCCGAATTGAAATAGACCGAATTGTCTATCCCAATTTCGGCCATGGGTAAATTAATATTGAATAAAAAATGTCAACATATAATTAAAAACAAAATGATTCTGAGAAATAGTTTTATACTTTTATATTTTGTGTTAAAAGAATTATTGTAAAATCTCATCATTCAGAACATTGTGTATATTTCGACAAATGAACGGTGTACTATTTTTATCCAATGCTCGCTTCTTGTTGTGCATCTGTCATGCAGGAAATCCTGACCGCTGGTTGCTGGAAGCATGACATTAAACACAAAGTAAATAAAAAAAATAAATTTAAAAAGTCCAAAAAAGGGAAAGCTACAAAGATGATTTTAGATTTCGTGTCTTTCACAAACATAAACTGTTCTGCAGAATGAAGTCCATATACAACGAATCTGAATATATACACGGTACAGATTTTTGTGATAAGCATTAAGCACGGACACTGATTTTATACTTTATTTTCACAATGTAATAATGAAAATGTAACAGATATATGTACTTCAATATTATGAATACGAAAAAAATATAAAATATATATATATGAATAAAAGAAGTGCACATTTCTCGTCTTTACTTTTTCGTGTTTTTGTGGACAGTCCCATTTGTCTACGGTCTATCCCACTTTTAAATGAGAGAGCACAATGGACTATTTCATTCTCCCGTTTAGTTTCGCACACTGTAAAATTCTGTTTTACTTCACTTCTCAAACCTCCCATAGTTATAACATTGATATGATTCAGGGTATATGTAACATTTGTAGGCAGGAAACGGTGAAAGTGTGTTTAATAGTAGAATCAAACTACAGTCAGGTTATGGAAAAGTTAAGATTATTTTCAATTGCTGTGTGGGCTATTGCCTAGAAGATCCTCAAGAGTTTGTGACCCAGAGACAAAATTACCTGCATTTGGTTATTTTTATTTGCAATCCTGCAATAAATTTGAAGATTTCCGTTCTTACTTCCATAATATATGAAATATTATGAGTGGTAAGCAGAAGGTTCTTTGTTGACTGGCTGATTATATAAGCTTAATTATCCCCTCGCGGCGAAGTTGAAGGGGATATAGTAACGGGCTTGTGAATGTGTGGGTGAGTATGTGCTTAACGGAAGTAATAATTTACATCAGGATCCATGTACACTTATGGGAGGGGATACTCCGCTTTGCAGTGCCCTTGTTCTTATAAGATCTTTAGCAATGTATTTTGACAAAATTAAGTTTGATATTATTTTCTGTAACCTTTTGTTATAACAGTAATCAATCTAATGTCTTTGTAGGGCACAACGGCTGACCAAGATAATAGGTTCAGTGACAAAAAGAAAAAATTGATGAAGTCCATGAAGTTCAACGATGGACTGGAAAGAAAGGTTTGTTACTGTGTGACTGGAAATAGGAAATCTTTATCATCAGACCATGTTGTTCCATTTTAATATGATATCAAATAAAATAAATATTTTAAGTAACTTCTTAGTTCAGGAAAACAACTCTGAACCTAGCAAATGATTTTATAGCAGGTATCATCTCTGTTGTTATGGAAAAGAAAGTGATTATATTGTAGCCATATACACTAGGCAAAATTGCTAACGCACCACTTATTATTCTTATTTGTGAACTGATCATTTTCCTAATTGGTACTAGTATATAAAATATGCCATCTTTTCCAAAACAAGTGGATTGACAAATGTCTTGGTGACATGTCAAGACCCTTAAAGGACCTTCTTGTCCGTAAACCAATGTCCCGACGTGCACTGCGCACCGTTTTTGCCAAGATATGAAGTTGGTGATTACTGATGGTGGTCCATGACGTTGTGACGGGAGCAGTCTCCCACTAAAAAATCAAATGATATACCCTGATTGACTACCATATCGCTTAGTAGTCATCCAGTGCCTTGATGTCCCTACCAAATCTACCCAACTTCCGGTTGCCCCAATTTTGTGGAACAATCTTGAAGTTATTGTGTGGTGCTTACTTAATGCCGTCGATATCTATTGTAAACATTTTTATGATCGTTAATTCATTTTCAACAATTTTTCACCAGAGAAATGCATAATCTTTTGAATTGTTTTAATTTTTCACAAATTTCTTCAAAGGAACCTCCTGCAGACACCATCCTGGCTGCCTTAGCACGCTTTCTAGAGTCAAACGCCGCATACGGTGTAACTTTTTTCTGAGTTTTTAATTAGTACAAACATAAAGAACACAACCACAAAGAAAAAAATTGAAATTTATTCCACCAGAAAAGTATGGATATGATTTTAATTTTTTCTATGACGTGGTTACGCTTCAGTAAACATTGCTGTTATTTATCAGTTAAAACATTTAAATGTCTCATTTTTTATTAAAGTAACATAATTATATATCAAAAACATCATAAACAAGTTTTGAAAAGAAAAATGTTAATTTATGTAGGTAGTGCGTTAGCAATTTTGTCTAGTGTATATGTTCTGTTTAATAACTGTGGTCTTACATTTGTGTTGTAGCCTGAATTACAATGTAACTGCTAAGTGAATTACATGCTGACTTTACTAGTACGTCCTTTTACAGGTTGACATGTCTAAGGTTAACGTGGACACGATCAAGCCCTGGATTGCTCAGAGAATCACAGAATTGTTAGGCATTGAGGATGACGTCCTCGTGGAATTTGTTTATAACCAGTTGGAGCCTAGGGTAAAGCATTCCTAAAATTTCAATCATAAAATCACAAGCAGAAAAGATTGAATATTTCTTATGAACAGGTTTTGACTTTGTTTGTGGGGAAGTTTTAAAACCCAAGATGGATTTCACTAAGTATGCTTTTCTGAAGCTCTTAGCTCTTATGATATATATATGAGATAGATTTTATGGTAAAAAATGAATATGTATTTGATTCTTATATTCTTAGGCAACTAGTGTCTGTGAAACTGTCTGACTTCTGTATATAATGTGTTTTGATCCCAAATAATTGCAGTCCTAATTTTTAGAAATACAAATAGCAACATATTTGAAATTTGCCAGGAATGTTTCAAATTCTCTCAGAGCAGACATTTTCTACATTCACAGTGTGTAAAAAAAACTAGATGTAAATTGTATGTAATGATTCAATGAAAATTTTTGCTTGAGTGAAAATATTTAATATTGATTGGATGAAAATATCTAATTTTGATTGGATGAAAATATTTGAATTTGATTGGATGACATGTATGTTGAATTTGATTGGCTGACTTACACTTTTGATTATTCCTTCACTGACACAGCTTTGATTCTCTGTCCCTCCATCATAAAGCCGACATTATAATTCTATACAGGAGGATAAAGTCGACATTAAAATTCTAAACAGGAGGATCGCCGATCAAGTTTGTCTGACACAAGTTAAGTATGCCTCACTTCTCATCATGGGCAGATAACTCTGTGTAGTACAGCTATCCAGATAGTGTTTGTACCCCTTTGGAAATATATCAGATAACTTCAGCAAAATCTGACTTGAAATCTCTTTAAAAACTGAAAAAGGGATGTTTGTGATATTATGTACAATATTACACTTTTTGGGGGTAAAAATAAAACAGGGTCAGGTATATTTGAAGTTTCTTAAAATGTTTTTTATAAACATTTTGATTAAGGGTTGGGGGGGGGGAGTGAAAATGGGTAGGATTTCTGAGGAGGTGACAATGGGTAGGATTTCTGAGGGGGTGGGGTGTAGTTGGGGGGGGGGGGGGGTATTTTACTTGATGCATAACTACTGCAGCGTTTTTGTGTTGGGAGGAAACCCTTGTGTTCAGGACAAGAAGAGGATAAAGGTTAGAATAAAAAAAAGATAAGAGAGAGAGAGAGAGACTAGGAAAAAAACTCTTAAATTATTTAAAATGGTGATAAATCAAAATGTAAGACGTGAAATAAACTGCCGTGGACTCTCCTGAATTTGAAGGCTTATGGGTGACTTTTTATTCCAGCACATCAGTGTTAGATGGACGCTTGCTGAGGGGGCTGTACTGTGTATACATATAAACGTTTCAGAGACTCGGATTATCAAGGAAGACAAATCAGGAATAGGAAGAAGGAAGTGATGGAATTTTCGACCTCAGGGAGTTTCTTACGACGATGTTTTAATTGACCGGAGTGTCCACTACAGGGCGATTGGTCAGCCTGTCCGTGTGGAGCCCCAAATTGTTGCAAATTACACCAAATTAGGGTTTCATGTTTCCCAGTTCTGAGCTATATGTGTATTCTTTGTGTGTATTGTAATTGATGTGCAAATTTTGTTAAAAGAAAATTTATCCAGTTCCCTGCCTGGAGTAAAGTACAGTGGAACTTATAAATCAGAACTTAGAGATGAATGTATTTTTAAGTTCTTTATCTTTTTTTTTTAACATTAGCAAACTATGAGTAGGATGATATATAGATTAAGGAGTTCATAATAAAAAAGGGTTTGTAATACTGTGTGTTATACAAAACATGTGATATAAATATAGGTTCAGTAAGAAGTCTTCTAGGTAAGTATATTCAAGCTTGTACCAGGCAAGCTTCATGTCTATATAGCTATAGCTGTTAATGTGGCTACTTCCCCTATCTTTACAGTTCCCTGACCCAAAGGAGATGCAGATCAACCTTACTGGATTCCTAAACCCGAAGAATGCTCGGATATTCCTGGGGGAGCTCTGGGAACATCTTTGTAGTGCTCAGGAAAACATTGGGGGGATCCCGGCCAAGTTTGTGGAACAGAAAAAAGAGGAGATCAAGCGAAAAAAGGTCAGTGTTGGAAGTATTGCAGTGAAGGAAAAAGATTTATTTATTTGAAAATAGGGTTCCATTGTATTTTTTGAATGGGGGGGGGGGGGTAATTTCATTTTCCTGGTTTTCTTCCAGATTTTATCAGTTTAACTGTACTTATAAACTGAGAATAAAAATTTCATTGTATGTATAAACATATTGACATATTGCAGGCGGAGCAGGAAAGAATTCAGGCAAACTTAAAGAAACATGAGGAACAGATTCGGGAGACTCTGCGTGAACAGGAGGAGCAGGAGAAGAGGCTCAGAAGGTAAACCCTGCAGGGGGGGGGGAGAGGCTCAGAAGGTAAACCCTGCAGAGAGAGGGGGGAGAGGCTCAGATGGTAAACCCTGCAGGGAGAGGGGGGGGAGAGGCTCAGAAGGTAAACACTGCAGAGAGGTGGGGAGAGGGGGAGGCTCAGAAGGTATACCCTGCAGAGGGGGGGGGAGGCTCAGAAGGTAAACACCGCAGAGGGGGGGGATGCTCAGAAGGTAAACACTGTAGGGGGGGGGAGGCTCAGAAGGTAAACACTGCAGAGAGGGGGGGGAGAGGCTCAGAAGGTAAACACTGCAGAGAGGTGGGGGAGAGGCTCAGAAGGTAAACACTGCAGAGAGAGGGGGGAGAGGCTCAGAAGGTAAATACTGCAAGGGGGGGGGGCTCAGAAGGTAAACACTGCAGAGAGGGGGGAGGCTCAGAAGGTAAACACTGCAGAAAAAGAGAGATGGGAGAAGAGAGAGAGAAGGTAAATGCTGCAGAGAGAGAAAGAGCAGAAGATGTTCAGAAGGTAAACACTGCAGAAAGTTAGTGAGAGAGAGAGGCTTAGGAGGTAAAGGTTGGGGAGAGAGAGATAGAGAGAGAGAAAGGGGCTTAGAAGGTAAAAGTTGTAGAAAGAAAGAGATGGGTGGGGGGGGGAGAGAGAAAGGCTTAGAAGGTAGATGCTGCAGAAAGGAAGAGATGAGGGAGGGAATATTTGGAGAGGAGAGAAAGAGAGAGTGAGCAGTGTTCCAGCTAGGATATGAAAATGGAGGGGTGCAAGAGGAGGTCACTTTTTCGCCAAGTACCGTTTGTCGCGAGCTTTTGTTACATAGATGTATCTCATTACTTCACCCTTATAATAATGAACTCCTTCAAATATCAATTTATTTAACCTTATTGATTTGAAAGATATATAAACACACATTAGGCCTAATTAATCTATAGCTACCCTGTCAGGGTTGGCAAAAAAACGGGAAATACTCATATTTCCCAGGACAGTGGGAAATACTGGTAATTCCCGGGAATTACTGGTATTTACCGGGAAATACTGGGAAATAAGAAATAGCTACATATTTCATAAGTTTAATCATATTTGTCAGGGTATAGACATGTAGTACACATTACTGGCTAAAATGTCTACCTGCCAGGTATCACTGTCCTGATTTAAAAATTTCTGGTTTCCAAGTTATTCATTTTATATAATCATAAAACAGTATATTCATATAGGACCTTCACATACCAGTTTTGAGTGCCATTTGTTTCATGCTTGAATCAGATGTAGTCTATGAAGGTTTTTGAAATAAACCCAAAGATCCCAAGTGGGTTTTTTATTTAACTAAATAGGGATCAAAGAAAATTATTAAATGTAGAGCATGGTGTAAATATCAAACCTAATAGAGGCCTTACAGTCCTACTCAAGGTAATTATCTCTCAAAACAGGAACACAAAACTGTCCAGAGCAATTTGTTTAAACATTATGATTGATTGTAATAACTGCAGTGTTTATATAAGAATTAAAACAAGTTTGTTTTGTTCTTGGATTGATAATTAATAAACTAATTTTACAAAACTGAAAAAAAAAATTGAATTGGAAAACTTCAGATTTGTTTTTTAAAATACAGCCAGGGAAATGTGTACTGCTTCAAAATGCTTATGAGTAGCAGACCTAGAGTAGTGATACATTCAGAATATTAAATTGCATTTTGACACATATTCAATATGTCATCTTTTGTTTTTATGTTTATTTTATTTCTGAATTTTGTATAGGATTGAATGAAATCAATGAATGAAAGAAACAAAGAACTTTTACTTTGTATTTCCAAGTATTTCCCAGTTTAGGGAAAATTATAGTATTTCCCAGGACGGGAAATACCGGTATTTACCACTGGTAATTCCCACCACTGGTATTTCCCGGCCAACCCTGTACCCTGTATATAAATTAACATATAAAAAGAATTTTAAAAATCCTCTGAGGTTAAATATTACTTTTCTTCTTCTTTTTTAATCATTTTCTATTCTTATTTCCTATTTTCAAAAACACAACCATATAAATTCTTATAAACTAGCTGGTGTCTCACAATATATTCAGTGGAGTACATGTGATTGGGTCTGTTTTTGGCAAATGTATAAAATATGGATACAGTATTTGTAGGTTATAAGTAACATATTAGTACTAGAATTAAATGTACAATTTAAAGCCAATATCTTTTTTGCTTGTTTTATCATATTGGTCATGTTATTGGCAGATACTTAATTAATAAAATTATGATTTTAAACTTCTGCAATGAAATAGAACACATTAAATATGTATACATATCTGTAACCTCATAGAATACCTTCCAGAGTGTCAAAAATCATAATTAAGGAGAAAATAAATGAATATTTATACTTGTTTCTTTGCTATTAAATATTGAATTACTTCTTTTTTTCAAAAAAAAAAAAACGTCAAGAATTTATAAATAAGAAGTGAAGGTCAATGTTAATTCTACTTTCACTTCGTGATTTATTTTTAGAACGCTATAATACAAGACTCTTGTTTTATATTAATTAAAACAGATAGCTTGGACATTCTCAAAGTATTTCAGCTTTTAACCCCTATTCACACTGTCAAGTGATCAAAGTAATTACCTTATCACCTGTGATTGAAAGTGGGCACCTGTACAGTACATAGGTACCGTAATGCGAGTTTCATTGCGTAATAGACTATGACAGGAGGTGTGAATTGCTGATTGTCCTTGGGTAATCTGCATTGGAACACACTAATTATTCTAATGAGGGAAAAGGACAGTCAGAATAATACAGGACACTGACAGGGGACACAGGGGCGCTTTTGGGGGGCAGAGGGGCGTACTGATTTGAGGGCGGGGCATGGCGCCCCTCTATTTCACCCTAGCTGGAACACTGGTGAGGTAGGTAAGGGTGGGGCCAACATAATTAAACAAACATGACTTAGAAGGTTAATACTTCAAGGGGGGGGGGGGGTCAGACAAGAGCATGAGAAAAGGCTTAGAAGGTGAATACTGCAGAAAGAGAGGGGGTAGGGGCAGCCACATTCATACGTATGTTTCGTTAGAGGTATGGTATATACCTTTTAGATAGTCAGAGGAAAACTGTTGTGTTCTTTTTAGGAGGTCAAGATCTAGAAGTAAGAGTCCAAAAAGAAAGAGGGAGTCCTCCCCCACAAAATCTCCAAAGAAAGAGAAGAGTCCAACTCCAGAGAGGAAGTCAGGATCTCCTCAGAAACCTGACGATTCCTCCACAGAGGTCAAAACCAAGTAAGGTCACCTCAACAACACATAAGTAAGATAACCTCACCATCACAATGTATAGGTCCTGTCCTTTATGGAGGTCACTTCATTGTCACATTGAACTCCTGCATTCTTGCCTATGTTGTTACATTACTGTGTATTTTTCCCTTTTTGTAGTGGTAAAAATGTAACTGTGTTCATTATGATCATTAAGTATGTTTAGTGGTAACAATGTTATTGTGTTTTTAGCCATCGTTTAGTGGTGACTGTTTTTTATTGTCTTTTAGTGGTAATTGTTCATTACTGTCTTGCTATGGTAACTGTTTATTACTGTCTTGTAGTGGTAACGATGTGGTAAATCAGAATGGGACAGAAGAAAAGAAGGAGATAAAGCCAGAAAAGGAAGAACAGAAGAAAAAATCATCGAGCCGATCTAGAAGTAGGTCACACAGTCGTCATAGAAGTCGTTCAGCAGACCGTCGTCGTCGCAGATCTAGATCAAGGTGAGGATATGTAGTGAAATGTGTGTCGACAATAACATGTTTATATCTATATCTCCCATTTAATCATTCATGTTAAGTTGGTGGAAATGTTAAAAATATCAAATAATCAATCTGTACATTATGTCAGTGAATCTGTTTACTTTATTTTACCATTTAATAGTGTAAGATCTTAATTATTAAAATAGCATAGAAAATTTGGCTGTATACATATTATTTTTAGCTCAACTGAGCCAAAGGCTCAAGTGAGCTCTTCTTATCAAAATTTGCCCATTGTCTGTCGTTGTTGTTGTCGTCATCATTGTTAACTTTTCACAATTTCATCTTCTCTGGAACCACTAGGCCAATTTCAACCAAACTTGGCACAAAGTATCCTTAAGAGTAGCCCTGTAATTAACTGAGTCAGTGATGTGTTGTTCTGGCAGATCACGGCGTCGCTCTCCTGCCAGACGAAGGTCAAGGAGTCGTTCCTGGAACAGACGACGCAGTTCTCCACGGCGATATAGGCGACGTACACCTTCACCCCGCAGGAGGTCATCACCAAGGCGACGAAGTGTGTCCCCACGCCGCAGAAGTCCAGCAAAGCCGCGACGATCCACTGAACGAAGTCCAAAAAAACGAGGACAGAAGTCTAGGTTAGTCTGCCAATATTCTTTTTATAGTCCTTTATTTCAGACTGATTGCTCATGTTGTTGTGACAGACTCATGTTTTTATATATTATGCACATGTGCATAGCAATGCATACTGCATGTGCATTTATTCATATGATCTAATTATGTATATATTTTTATTTGCAGCACACTTCTACATCTGAATTAAATAATTATTCATTTAATCTGTAGTAAAGTGTATTGACTTTTAAATTGTTCTTTTCCAGAGAGGTCCAGAGTTAGCCTCAGGGCTGTAATTATATTCTGGCCAAGGTCATTTTGTATCTTTTAATTTCATTGGTATTTTTAGTTTGTCTCATGCTTTTGGATTGGGTTTTGTTTTTCCCTCCAAGTTTTCTTTGTGTTTTTGGTTAATTCTGATTTAGCAGTGGAAAGGTATAGTCATATCTTGGTGATTGAGTTGTTCAAGTTGTGATAAAAGACCTTTTGACATTGAGACTTGTATTTCCACTTGCATGGTAAGTAATTCTTTCATACTAATGCTAATATATATTATTCTAATTTTATTAAATGTGAAATCTATAATTTTGCAATTAATTCCTAAAGTCACTTTTCCTGGAGTAAATGAATAGTGAGAGTGAGACTGTGGATATAAAGTTATGTGTAAATAGTAAATTCATGGATGTCTCACTTATTCATATTTTTAAAGTAAACTTTATTTTATGCTTATTGTAGCTATCTACAAAGTTATTTGTTGTTGATTTGTAGATATTGATCTGTCTGTCTTAGACTAGTTTATGCAGCTTATGCGCTGCAGTATGGCCCATTCCCATTGAATGGTATGAATAATATTGTTTTTTATGAGTACCAATAATTAATAATGTACATATACATTGTCAAGATAATTATTGTAAAGTTTTTATGATAAATATATATTGATTAAAGAAATGGGAGATTTGATTGTGTATATTTCATATAATTGGATTATCTCCCTTTGATTCTGTTAAAGCTATATTGATCAATAAGTCTATAGTTTTTATGCTGAATACTTATAATTTGTTATTTCATTACAGGGTTTCTTTACTTTACTTCATTTTTCCATTGATTCATCGTAATAAAGATACCCGTCTTGTTTTAACACGAACCAACAGCCTTGTTGTTTTTCATCACCATCACACAACACAAGTCTGTTACATTTTGGCGCCCATGTAGGGACAAGACGGCACTATTCCACTCAACGATGGATCAGACAGGACGTCCAAGTATGCACAGATATGACAGAAACTTGCCTGCATGTTTGGTGAGCTTAGACTGTTAAGTTTAATATGAACCTACAGGCTCTGAGCCTTGGAGATATTGTGCAGTAGCGACTGAGTATCTCATAGACTTATCTGTGATTTCTACTGGATTCCAGACCATTCCATCCATGGACCATTTTAGTGAAATTTATTAGTTTTGTATATATGTAGATACACATGTACCTAGGTATGTAATCATAAGATCAGCTGAGTGGAGAGGTAATTTGTGTTAAAAGCCGGCTTAGACATTGTCTGTCTGTCTTGATTTTTTTCCTTATATTTTTTTTTTACTTTTTTTTGGGTACCCTATCTCATAAATATTTTGGTTGAATTTATTTTTTTTATTTGAAAACATTTGAGTACTAAAATTATTTAAAATTTTGATTATTTGAATTATTTTACAGTTTATTTTAAATATGTAATTATTTAAATTTCATTTCATATTTTCATCATTTGGTAAGAAAGCGTAGTGTAAAAGTATCCTTTCTATTTCTATATAGCACACTACCTACCCTCAAAGCCCTTTGTCCCCAGCTATTACTACCTAATAACAGATATAGTTGATTAATTCATCTGTCTTACTTTTGACAAACAAGACTGTAGACTGACAAGACACAGTTATATTACAGGTGTTTGAGTTTAACAGTGGTAGTTGGAGTAGTGGTATTGCATTGGTTTGTTGATTGAGTAAAACAGGTTTCAGTTGATTGAAGTTGGGTTAAAGTGTCTCATTTTACTTGCATAGTTGTGTATATTAGCATATTTTAAGCAGTTCAGATTAATCCTATCCATTTTCAGAGTATTCCATTTGCATACTTGCCACACTATTTTCAGCTTTCAGATACATGCCAGTTTGTTGACATTTTTTTCAGATCGGGTTCGGTTTTCGTTTGACTACTTCCGTTTTAACAGTTAACTGTTCGGGTTCGGTTTCTTTCGTTTACCGATCGAGCTCGATATTTATGTAACACCGTCACCGGAAGCGGCAAATGTAAACACGTGTTTTGACAAAATTTTTCGGGAATTTGTTGTTCTTGTGTTTATTTCTTTAGAATACTTGAATATTACATTTGTAATTTGTGTCTACTGAAACATCATTGAATATCCTTTTGCCCTGATTTATTTTACAGCGGAAAATACAGGTAAATCTTGGTATTATGTTGACTTAGAAATTTTGTTATTGAACAGCTGATTTCACAACTTTAAAATTTTTGTGCATAATTTATCAATCACCGGAAGTGCAAGGTATTACTGGATGTGCATTTCTACTTTCGTTTTCCCTTGTTTATAAGTTCTGTTTAGAGCTTACCCTCCTTCACAATTCTGAATCATTTTTTTTCAGCACTGAATTTATGATTGTATTCATAGCCCACATTTGACATGTTCACATTGAACTACCCTCCTTATTACTTAGTTTACAAGAATTAGATCTATTTGCCCAACATTTTGCCCTGTGTTTAACTTGGTCTTCAGAAAGACTACCCACCTACTACCCTGAATTTTGTACATGAATTATTATCTTTTGTACATTTTTATATCATTGTGGTTCAACATATTAATCATGTCTACTGAGAACAAATCAACTGCAGAAGGAGCAACTGCAGGAAAGTTTATGACAAAAGAGGAGACAGAGCAGTTGGTTAAGACTCTGGAAGCTATGAACCTTAGGCCAAAAGCTGGTACCCCTGCAGATCTGCTTGGTTGGATGTCAGAAGTAGTTACTCTTGGCAAAGAAACAGGAGCCATTCCTAAAACACCAATCAAGACAGAACCTTTTTCACCCTTCTCCAATACAACGATGGACTTTACAACTCCATTTAAGCACCCAGTGCGGATTGCTATGTTCTCTGGAGGAAAGAGTGATTCTTCATATGAACTATGGCGTTATGAGGTCACATGTTTAAGCAAGGAAGGATATTCAAAGGAGACCATCATGAATGCCATTAGACGATCACTCAAGGGTGAACCAGCTAATGTGATGATGAGGTTAGGTCCAGTCAACACCATTGAGGAAATTCTGCAGAAATTTGACAGCATTTATGGGAATGTACTTGGCACTGAAGATATTCTAGCAGAATTTTACAGCGCTAAACAAAAACCAGATGAGGATTGCGCAGCATGGAGTGTTCGTCTGGAGGAACTTCTTAACCAGGCTATCAAGAAAGGAAAGATTTCCCCAGCAAATGCTAATGACATGTTGAGGACTATGTTTTATAAAGGCCTGCGTCAGGAATTGAAAGACATTTCAGGACATATCTTTCAGATAATCCCAGACTTTGATAAACTTAGAGTGGCTATCAGGAAGATTGAGATGGACCATCAACCTGACATTTCAGTGAAACCTAAGCAGACTACAGTTAAATCTGCCCAGTCTACAACCGATGAAAGGTTTAGTGAAATACAGGCACAAATTCATCAGCTATCAACTCAGATACAGCAGATGACACAGCCTCAACATTTCAATCAACGTCCTCATTATGGACCCAGACCATCATTCCAGAGAGGAAGAAGAAACTTTCAGGAATACAAAGAAAGAAAACAGAACACCGAGATGTATACTCCTCCTGAAGTTTCATCCAATCTATCCATACCAACAAGAGATCAACAAAAAGGTAAGATTATTTGTTACAGGTGTCATCAGGAAGGCCATCTAGCAGTTGGATGCAGAGTGAGGATAGACCATCAAAGAAGTCGAGGTCATTTAAACTTCAACAGGCCGAATCCTGGGGTCGAGGATCAGGCCAGGTCAAAGGGAGGCCCATCGACAAGGAGGCAATAGTTGGAGTATCTAACGAGGTGAATATTGAGATTGAGCAGGTCACTTGTTCAGCTCTCATTGACACAGGTGCTACAGTGTCTACCATAAGTGCCAGTTTCTATGACCAATACTTATCTCATATTGAGATTCATCCTATTGATGATATACTGCATATTGAATGTGCAGATGGTCAACATATGCCCTACTCAGGCTATATATCTGCCAGTATTAAGCCTTATGGTACACCACATGATGTCTTAGATGACTGCTTATTTTTAATTGTACCTGACAGTAACTATAATGCTAGAGTACCCATTCTTATTGGTACTAACATTATCAGCCGCCTCATAGATATCACCAGAGATGAATTTGGATCAAGATATCTTCAAGATGCACACTTACAGACATCATGGTATATAGCGTTCAAATGTATGGCATTGAGACAGAGAGACTTGCAGCGACATAGCAACAGACTTTGTCTTATCAAGTCAGCAGCTATAGACAGAGTGATTATTCCACCTAATGGAAGAGTGATAATCGAGGGATACATGGATAAGAAGCTGCCTTATTACAGAGTCCTTGCCATGCTTCAAGCTACAAGGAAGTCCATAATCCACACAGATTTGGATATCACTCCAACACTTCACCTATACAACCATGAATCTAGTGCCACTATTCCTGTGGAGATATGCAACATCACCACAAGGACTGTTGCAGTACCACCAAGAGCCATCTTGTGTGAACTTCAGCCTGTCCAAATACTGAACACTTTGATGCCTGAGACTCATACCATCAGTCCTAAATTGCAGAACATTTTTGATAAGATCAAGATTTCACCATCAGTGACTACAGAAGAACAACATCACTGTAAACAACTGATATCTGAATTTTCAGACATATTTTCCACCAGCTCAACAGATATTGGAACAACAGATAAGGTGAAACATCGGATTGACTTATATGATACAACACCATTCAAGCAGAAGTACAGAAGGATTCCACCAGCCATGATTGAAGAGGTCAGGACACATATCCAGGAATTACTAGCAAGTGGAGTGATTCGACCATCACACTCTCCTTTTTCGTCCAATGTAGTGCTGGTTAGAAAACAAGATGGAACGTTAAGGCTTTGCATCGACTATCGCCAACTTAATTCCAGAACCATCAAAGATAACTACGCACTCCCTCGTATTGACGAGATCTTGGATTCCCTATCAGGCAACAAATATTTTACTGTACTAGACATGAAGTCAGGATACCATCAGATTGAGATAGAAGAGTCGCATAAGGAAAGAACAGCATTCACGGTTGGGCCATTGGGTTTTTACGAATTTAATAAGATGAGTTTTGGACTTGCCAATGCACCAGCAACTTATCAGCGTCTTCAAGAAGAGTGTTTAGGAGATCTACACTTGAAGATATGTTTTATATATCTGGATGACCTGATCATTTTTTCCAGAACTTTTGAGGAACATTTAGATAGACTGAACCAAGTATTTACAAGGATAAGACAGTATGGATTGAAGCTTTCTCCAAAGAAGTGCTCATTCTTAATGGACAAGGTGAAGTACATTGGCCACATAGTCTCATCAAAAGGTGTTCAGGCAGATCCTGACAAGATCGATAAAGTGCGAAACTGGCCAACACCTAAGAACCCAGAGGATGTTAGATCTTTCCTAGGCTTCGTAGGATATTACAGAAAATTCATCCAGAATTTTTCCAAAATTGCCCGCCCCCTTATTGACATAATGGCCACTGGGAAGAAGAGCCGCAACCATAGTACCAAACAACATGCAAAGTGGAAATGGGATCAAGAGCAGGAGACAGCATTTTCTGTCCTGAAGGACAAATTGACATCTCCACCTGTCCTTGGATACCCAGACTTCACTAAGCCATTTGAGCTCCACACGGATGCATGTGGTACTGGATTGGGTGCAGTTCTTTACCAGAACCAGGATGGACATAACCGGGTAATTGCCTACGCAAGCCGAGGCTTGACAAAATCCGAGCGGAACTATCCCACTCATAAGTTAGAGTTCCTCGCTCTCAAATGGGCCATAACCGAAAAGTTTTCGGATTATCTCATGGGTAATACCTTTGCCGTATTTACTGACAACAACCCATTGACTTACGTTCTTACATCAGCAAAGCTAGATGCAACTGGTCATCGCTGGATCGCAGCTCTATCAGCATACAACTTCACCATAACATATAAGCCAGGCAAGAATAATGCTGATGCTGATAGACTGTCAAGGCTTCCAGAGGTTATAGACAGTGAAACAGTGAAAGCCATCTGTAACTTACAACAAGATCACCCTCTGATTGAGTCATTACCAGTGACAATAGCATCCTGTGACCAGATACAGCCTTCAGATGCTGATCCTTTCCAGCATATTGATCTTCATGACATACAGAAAAGAGATGTCACTATATCTACCTGGAAAGAACATGTAAGGAATGGAACTAGGCCCAAGAAAGATACCATGACTACAGATCATGATAAGATCATATACAAGAATTTCAGTAAGCTAAGGATTGTAGATGGGTTGCTAGTCAGAGTCACCAGTGCTGATGATGGAGAACATAAACAAGTTCTGGTTTCTCCAGAGGTCATTCCTGTTCTAATGGAATTCCTACATGATAAAATGGGACATCCAGGCAGAGAAAGAACCACAGCATTAGTGATGGACCGATTCTACTGGCCAAGGATGCGCAAGGACATAGCGACTTATGTTGACCATTGTGATAGATGTTTGAAGTTCAAAACACCCGACAATCAACGTGCTTCTTTGGTCAACATACCTACAACACAACCCCTAGAGCTTGTATGTATGGATTTTTTAACCCTAGAACCATCTAAAGGTGGAATTCAAAATATTTTGGTTATAACTGATCATTTTACTAAATTTGCAGTTGCTGTCCCAACCAGAAACCAGACCGCCAAGACCACAGCAGATGCCCTCCTGAACCATTTCATTATTCCATATGGACTTCCAAGACAAATTCATTCGGACCAAGGTACAAATTTTTCTAGCAAACTAATTCAAGAATTATGTCAAATTGCAGGTATTTCCAAGTCAAGAACCACCCCTTACCACCCAATGGGTAATGGGATCACCGAGAGATTCAATAGGACCTTAATATCCATGCTTGGGACACTTGAACCAGAACTAAAGTCCAACTGGAAGGCTTACATAGGACCCCTCATACATGCATACAATGCCACCAGACATGAAACAACAGGATTTTCTCCATTTTATCTCATGTTTGGAAGAGAACCAAACCTACCTGTTGATTTAGTGTTTGGGTTGGACAATGGGGAAAAGACCAAAAGTATGTCGTCGTATGTTCAAAGTCTGAAACAACGACTGGAAACAGCCTACAAAATAGCCAATACAGCAACAAAGAATAGCCAATTGAGACACAAGGCCCTTTACGACTCAAAGACAAGGGGAGGTATATTGAGTGCTGGTGACAGAGTATTGGTGAAAGTGGTAGCTTATGATGGAAAGCACAAGATTGCTGACAAATGGGAAGATCATCCCTATATCATCATGGATCAACCCAACATCAATATTCCTGTGTTTAGGGTTAAAAGAGAGGATGGGGAAGGCAGATGTAAAACCCTGCATCGAAATTTGCTGTTACCCATAGGAACAAAACTCCCTTCTCCAGCGCCAGTTCCAGCACCAAGGACGAGCAGGAAGCGAACAGATTCACTTCATGAACCATCCATATCACCTACAGTGGAGGATGATAATGACGATGATGATGAATCAAACTATTACTTACTGGGTACCGGTACCAAGACTCAAAGAGACCAGAATATGGAGGACGCTCCATTGTCCATTAGTCATTCTACTAATGATGTCGACCAAGGTCCAGAGTCAGAGTTAGCAGATGATGTGCTTCAAGAACTCGTTCCTGAGGATGATCCACTACAAGATCCTCCTGCTGAAGAAACAGAAGGCATTCCTTCTATTGAAGAACCAGCAGAAGAGGAAGATCATTCTGTTGAGGATACAGAAACAGATGAAGATACCTTTGTTGAAGAGAGAGTAGAACATCCTACTCCCCCACAGCGACGGTCAACTAGAACTAGAGTCAGGCCAAAGTGGACAGAAGACTACATTATGTCACACCAGATTCAGTCACCAGAATGGTTGCAGAGAGCAAAATACTTGCAAACATTAGTTACTAGTGGGGTTTTTGACACCATGGATCAAGATTCTACTAAAGCTCTTATGTCCATAATTACAGGTAAGTGATGTTTTAACCTTATTTTATGCCGCTATTATTTTTTTTTCAGAGTTTTTTGTTACATTCTCGGGTTTGGTCAATGGCGCGGACGCCATTCTTGCACCAGGGGGAGAATGTGACAGACTCATGTTTTTATATATTATGCACATGTGCATAGCAATGCATACTGCATGTGCATTTATTCATATGATCTAATTATGTATATATTTTTATTTGCAGCACACTTCTACATCTGAATTAAATAATTATTCATTTAATCTGTAGTAAAGTGTATTGACTTTTAAATTGTTCTTTTCCAGAGAGGTCCAGAGTTAGCCTCAGGGCTGTAATTATATTCTGGCCAAGGTCATTTTGTATCTTTTAATTTCATTGGTATTTTTAGTTTGTCTCATGCTTTTGGATTGGGTTTTGTTTTTCCCTCCAAGTTTTCTTTGTGTTTTTGGTTAATTCTGATTTAGCAGTGGAAAGGTATAGTCATATCTTGGTGATTGAGTTGTTCAAGTTGTGATAAAAGACCTTTTGACATTGAGACTTGTATTTCCACTTGCATGGTAAGTAATTCTTTCATACTAATGCTAATATATATTATTCTAATTTTATTAAATGTGAAATCTATAATTTTGCAATTAATTCCTAAAGTCACTTTTCCTGGAGTAAATGAATAGTGAGAGTGAGACTGTGGATATAAAGTTATGTGTAAATAGTAAATTCATGGATGTCTCACTTATTCATATTTTTAAAGTAAACTTTATTTTATGCTTATTGTAGCTATCTACAAAGTTATTTGTTGTTGATTTGTAGATATTGATCTGTCTGTCTTAGACTAGTTTATGCAGCTTATGCGCTGCAGTATGGCCCATTCCCATTGAATGGTATGAATAATATTGTTTTTTATGAGTACCAATAATTAATAATGTACATATACATTGTCAAGATAATTATTGTAAAGTTTTTATGATAAATATATATTGATTAAAGAAATGGGAGATTTGATTGTGTATATTTCATATAATTGGATTATCTCCCTTTGATTCTGTTAAAGCTATATTGATCAATAAGTCTATAGTTTTTATGCTGAATACTTATAATTTGTTATTTCATTACAGGGTTTCTTTACTTTACTTCATTTTTCCATTGATTCATCGTAATAAAGATACCCGTCTTGTTTTAACACGAACCAACAGCCTTGTTGTTTTTCATCACCATCACACAACACAAGTCTGTTACATTGTGAACACTAAGTTCAGTCCTTTGATAGTTTTTGATTTAGTCAACTGGACTATATACTAAAGTTCCTTCACAAAAAGGTACAATTAACAGATTTCTTATGTTGTACTGTATGACATTGCTGAGAAATGTCTTATTGACTTACAGTTCCCGATCCTCTAGCAGTTCTGGCAGCTCAAGGTCTCCGTCGCCATCCAATCCCAAAAAAACAACCAAGGTAAGGGAATTTTATCTATATTGTATGGCAAGGAATGATGCATTTATACACAAACCACTCTCATTGTCTGCAGTCTTTCCTTAGTTTTTAGCTCACCTGAGCCGAAGGCTCAAGTGAGCTTTTCTGATCAAAATTTGTCCGTTGTCTGTCGGCGGCGGCGGCTGCGGCGTCTGCGTCGTTGTTGTCGTAAACTTTTCACATTTTCATCTTCTTCTCCAAAACTACTGGGCCAATTTCAATCAAACTTGGCACAAAGTATCCTTGGGTGAAGGGGTTTCAAGTTTGTTCAATTGAAGGGCCATGCCCTCCTCCAAGGGGAGATAATTACGAAATAGCAAAAAATTAATAGCATTATTGAAAAATCTTCTTCTCAAGAACCAGTGGGCCAGGAAAGATGAAACTCATGTGGAATTATTGTCAGTTAGTGTAGATTCAAGCTTGTTCAAATCATGACCCCCGAGGATAGGGTGGGGCCACAATGGACAATCAAAGTTTTGCATAGGAATATATAGGAAAAATCTTCAAAAATCTTCTTCTCAAGAACAGCAAAGCTATGATTGGTCATATTTATGTGGAAGCATCCTCAGGTGGTGTAGATTCAAATTTGTACAAATCATGACCCCCGGGGGTAGGGTGGGGCCACAATGAACGATCAAAGTTTAACATAGGAATATATAGGAAAAATCTTCAAAAATCTTCTTCTCAAGAACAGCAAAGCTATGATTGGTCATATTTATTTGGAAGCATCCTCAGGTGGTGTAGATTCAAGTTTGTTCAAATCATAACCCCCGGGGGTAGGGTGGGGCCAAAATGGACGATCAATGTTTAACATAGGTGTACATAGGAAAAATCTTCAAAAATCTTCTTCTCAGGAACAGCAAAGCTATGATTGGTCATATTTATTTGGAAGCATCCTCAGGTGGTGTAGATTCAAGTTTGTACAAATCATGACCCCTGAGGGTGGGGTGGGGCCACATTGGACAATCAAAGTTTTACATTGGAATATATAGGAAAAATCTTCAAAAATCTTCTTCTCAAGAACAGCAAAGCTATGATTGGTCATATTTATTTGGAAGCATCCTCAGGTGGTTTAGATTCAAATTTGTACAAATCATGACCCCCGGGGGTAGGGTGGGGCCACAATGAACGATCAAAGTTTAACATAGGAATATATAGGAAAAATCTTCAAAAATCTTCTTCTCAAGAACAGCAAAGCTATGATTGGTCATATTTATATGGAAGCATCCTCAGGTGGTGTAGATTCAAGTTTGTTCAAATCATAACCCCGGGGGGTAGGGTGGGGCCAAAATGGACGATCAATGTTTAACATAGGTGTACATAGGAAAAATCTTCAAAAATCTTCTTCTCAAGAACAGCAAAGCTATGATTGGTCATATTTATTTGGAAGCATCCTCAGGTGGTGTAGATTCAAGTTTGTTCAAATCATGACCCCTGAGGGTAGGGTGGGGCCACATTGGACAATGAAAGTTTTACATTGGAATATATAGGAAAAATCTTCAAAAATCTTCTTCTCAAGAACAGCAAAGCTATGATTGGTCATATTTATTTGGAAGCATCCTCAGGTGGTGTAGATTCAAGTTTGTACAAATCATGACCCCCGGGGGTAGGGTGGGGCCACATTGGACAATGAAAGTTTTACATTGGAATATATAGGAAAAATCTTCAAAAATCTTCTTCTCAAGAACAGCAAAGCTATGATTGGTCATATTTATGTGGAAGCATCCTCAGGTGGTGTAGATTCAAGTTTGTTCAAATCATGACCCCCGGGGGTAGGGTGGGGCCAAAATGGACGATCAATGTTTAACATAGGTGTACATAGGAAAAATCTTCAAAAATCTTCTTCTCAAGAACAGCAAAGCTATGATTGGTCATATTTATGTGGAAGCATCCTCAGGTGGTGTAGATTCAAGTTTGTTCAAATCATGACCCCCGGGGGTAGGGTGGGGCCAAAATGGACGATCAATGTTTAACATAGGTGTACATAGGAAAAATCTTTAAAAAATCTTCTTCTCAAGAACAGCAAAGCTATGATTGGTCATATTTATGTGGAAGCATCCTCAGGTGGTGTAGATTCAAGTTTGTTCAAATCATGACCCCCGGGGGTAGGGTGGGGCCAAAATGGACGATCAATGTTTAACATAGGTGTACATAGGAAAAATCTTCTTCTCAAGAACAGCAAAGCTATGATTGGTCATATTTATTTGGAAGCATCCTCAGGTGGTGTAGATTCAAGTTTGTTCAAATTATGACCCCCGGGGGTAGGGTGGGGCCACAATGGACGATCAAAGTTTTACATAGGAATATATAGGAAAAATCTTCAAAAATCTTCTTCTCAAGAACAGCAAAGCTATGATTGGTCATATTTATGTGGAAGCATCCTCAGGTGGTGTAGATTCAAGTTTGTACAAATCATGACCCCCGGGGGTAGGGTGGGGCAACAATGTATGATCAAAGTTTTACATAGGAATACATTTGTATATAGGAAAAATCTTTAAAAATCTCAAGAACAGCAAAGTCACGGTTTGTCATATTTATACGGAAGCATCCTCAGATAGAAGTGTAGATTCAAGTTTGTTCAAATCATGACCCACCCCCCCCCCCCCACTCCCTTTTTAGGGGTAGGTTGTGACCACTCATGCATTTATGCTTTTCAATACTAAACTGATTTTTCCTTTTTTCCTAGCCACAGTGCTCAGGTGAGCGATCTGGCCCTTGGGCCTCTTGTTTTCATTGGTTCCATTACTTTTAACCAATGGTCTGTGATAAAATATTTTCAGTAAAGTTACAAACTCTTGATTAAACAGTACATCTTATCAATAATACAGTTGGCAATAATACAGTTGCCAATTACAATACATTACTGCCAGCAATGGCACAGAATATGCATTCCATTCAATTTATGTACAATGTAGTCAAAATACAACTAAGTTTAAGTTTTATTCAGTATAATTCATTAACCTTGTAATCGAAATACTAGGAGACTTTTTAAAAAAATCTAAAGTATGGAGTGTGGAGATGTGTAGAAAAAGAAAATCAAGGTAAAAATGTGTATTTGGCAAATACACATTATTTTAAAATTAAATCCTGCTCCCCCCCCCCCCAAAAAAAAACAATGTCAGATAAAATATGAAGGGGTGGAGGGGGGATTGGCGAGATCCAAATGCTACTGTTGTCCGACATCGATAAGGACACAAAATTGAACATTTTACTGGAAACTTTATGTTATCAATATTTAAAATGATTCTTTTAATGAATAAACAGAAGAAATATGTTATTTACAGTGTTATAAATGTTTGTATTAGTTTAAAATTTTGAGGGAAATCTTGGAAATAATTATGATTCTTTTCCGGACCTTGAACTTGATCTAAACTCTTTTTCATATTCAACAGAAAGGAGAAGAGAGGAGTGGATCTGAGAGTTCTCCTGATAAGGGAGGTGTACAGAAAAGAAGACAATACAGGAAACATGACGTCGAGTCCAGCGGGTCTTCTTCATCTTCAGATAGCGAGGCATCTCCAGGTAATACATCATTTTGTGTCCAGGGATATCCCTGTTTTCCATGTGTCTATAATTACATGTCCAGGGATATCCCTGACTTCTGTGTCTATAATTACATGTCCAGGGATGTCTTTGACTTCTGTGTCTATAATAACATGTTCAGGGATATCCTTGTTTCCCATGTATCTATAATTACATGTTCAGGGATATCCCTGTTTTCTACATGTCTGTAATTACATGTTCAGGGATATCCCTGTTTTCCATGTGTCTATAATTACATGTTCAGGGATATCCCTGTTTTCCATGTGTCTGTAATTACTTGTTCAGGGATATCCCTGTTTTCCATGTGTATGTAATTACTTGTTCAGGGATATCCCTGTTTTCCATATGTCTATAATTACATGTTCAGGGATATCCCTGTTTTCCATGTGTCTGTAATTACATGTTCAGGGATATCCCTGTTTTCCACGTGTGTGTAATTACATGTTCAGGGATATCCCTGTTTTCCATGTTTCTATAATTACATGTTCAGGGATATCCCTGTTTTCCATGTGTCTGTAATTACATGTTCAGGGATATCCCTGTTTTCCATGTGTTTATAATTACATGTTCAGGGATATCCCTGTTTTCCATATGTCTATAATTACATGTTCAGGGATATCCCTGTTTTCCATGTGTCTATAATTACATGTTCAGGGATATCCCTGTTTTCCATGTGTCTATAATTACATGTTCAGGGATATCCCTGTTTTCCATGTGTCTAATTACATGTCCAGGGATATCTCTGACTTCTGTGTCTATAATTACATGTCCAGGGATATCTCTGACTTCTGTGTCTATAATTACATGTCCAGGGATATCCCTGACTTCTGTGTCTATAATTACATGTCCAGGGATATCCCTGACTTCTGTGTCTATAATTACATGTCCAGGATATCCCTGACATCTGTGTCTATAATTACATGTCCAGGGTTATCCCTGACTTCTGTGTCTATAATGACATGCCCAGGGATATCCCTGACTTATGTGTCTAAAATTACATGTTCTGGGATATCCCAGATTTCAATGTCTATAATTACATGTCCCGGGATATCCCTGACTTCTGTGTCTATGATTACATGATGTCCTGTTCTAATCTGTGCTCCTAACTATTTTCTAGAAAGAAAAAGAACAGATAGAGGCAGAAGTCCAATTTCTCCTCGTGGACGAGATCGTAGATATTCCCCGGCGGGACGCAGAAGGTATATGTAGGGGTGGTGGTAGAATCAGAAGAACAAGATATATGTACTTGTGTTTAATGTCAAAATATCCTAACCCTGACAAAGCCCTGTATAATAACAGGAGACCCTGAAAATTTCAGTTTGGACCAAAAAGAAGTTTAACTTTAAAGCATAGATTGTTTTTAAATCTGTATGGACCTGTCTGTCTGTATTACATATCTACATGTGTATCTCAGTCTGTATATCTATATAATTAATTCTATCTCCGCATAGAAATGTCTGTCTATAAATATCCTTGTATAACTGTGACTTCCTATTCTATAAATATCTTGTATAACTGTGACTTGTTTATCTATAAATATCTTTGTATAACTGTGACTTGTCTATCTATAAATATCCTTTGTATAACTGTGACTTGTCTACCTATAAATATCCTTGTGTAACTGTGACTTGCCTATCTATAAATATCCTTCTGTGGCTGTGACTTGTCTATCTATAAATATCCTTTTATAACTGTGACTTCCTATTGCAGATACTCACCTCCACCGAGCAGGTTTAGTCCGGTCCGATACAGACGACCTTCACCTCGCTATATATCACCACGGCGACCAAGAAGACGATCATCCCCATATTATGACAATAGAAGGCAAGAATACCTTGTTAAATACTGATGTGAGCTTTCCTGATTATAGATTGTCAGGTGTTCATCTGTCTGTCTTTAATACTGGTATGAGATTTTCTGGTTATAGAGTGTTTTTAGTGTCCATCTGTCTGTCTTTGATGTGCTGTATTTTGTCTGTAGTTTCCCCATTTTCAACTTTTTGAGAACCACCAGATAAACTTCAGCAAAATTTGCCCAAAAGCCCCATGGAATTAGTGATTTATGTCACCATAAAAGATAAAAGATAACCTCAAATGATGCTCATGTCCCTAGGTGTTAAAGTCTTTATCCAATTTAATTCTACCAAGATAAAGACAATAGGAATTTGCAATTTCAATTTTCAGTGAGTCCTTAAAGCTATTTTTAGATATAAACTTCCTTTAGTTACCCCAGAGGGGTTAAATGTCCTCTTAGGAAAATAACAGAGTTCTTCTCTAAGCTATTTTTAGATATGGCAGAATTCTTCTCTAAGCTGTTTCAAGGTATGACCTTTCAGTGTTTGCCTAGTGTAGGGTATTGATCATCTAAGTTATTTTGAGATATGCCCTTTCTGTGTTTGTCTAGTGTGGGAAGGCTATTTTGAGATACGCTCTTTCTGTGTTTGTCTAGTGTGGGAAGGCTATTTTGTGATATACCCTTTCTGTGTTTGCCTAGTGTGGGAAGGCTTTTTTGAGATCTGCCCTATCTGTGTTTGCCTAGTGTGGGAGGGCTATTTTGAGATATGCCCTTTCTGTGTTTGCCAAGTGTGGGAAGGCTATTTTGAGATACGCTCTTTCTGTGTTTGTCTAGTGTGGGAAGGCTATTTTGTGATATACCCTTTCTGTGTTTGCCTAGTGTGGGAAGGCTTTTTTGAGATCCTGCCCTATCTGTGTTTGCCTAGTGTGGGAGGGCTATTTTGAGATATGCCCTTTCTGTGAGAGGCCAGTGTGGGAAGGCTATTTTGAGATATGCCCTATCTGTGTTTGCCTAGTGTGGGAAGGCTTTTTTGAGATATGCCCTTTCTGTGTTCACCCAGTGTGGGAAGGCTATTTTGAGATATGCCCTATCTGTGTTCGCCTAGTGTAGGGTATTGATCCTCCAAATTTTTGAGATATGCCCTTTCTGTGTTTGTCTAGTGTGGGAAGGCTATTTTGAGAGATGCCCTTTCTGTGTTTGCCTAGTGTGGGAAGGCTATTTTGAGATATGTCCTTTCTGTGTTTGATTATATTGAAGGCTATTTTGAGATATTCCCTATCTGTGTTTGCCTAGTGTAGGGTATTGATCCTCCTTGTGGTGAAGCCTATTTTGAGATGTGCTCTTTCTGTGTTTGCCTACTGTGGGAAGGCTATTTTGAGAGATGCCCCTTCTGTGTTTGTCTAGTGTGAGAGGGCTATTTTGAGATATGATCTTTCTGTGTTTGCCTAGTGTGGGAGGGCTATTTCGAGATCTGTCCTTTCTGTGTTTGGCTAGTGTGGGAGGGCTATTTTAAGATGTGCCCTTTCTGTGTTTGCTATGGAGGGCTTTTTTGAGATCTGCCCTATCTGTGTTTGCTTAGTGTGGGAGGGCTATTTTGAGATATGCCCTTTCTGTGTTTGCATATGGAGGGATATTTTGAGATCTGCCCTATCTGTGTTTGCCTAGTGTGGGAGGGATATTTTGAGATCTGCCCTATCTGTGTTTGCCTAGTGTGGGAGGGCTTTTTTGAGATATGCCCTTTCTATGTTTGCCTTGTGTGGGAAGGCTATTTTGAGATATGCCCTTTCTGTGTTTGCCTAGTGTGGGAAGGCTATTTTGTGATATATACCCTTTCTGTGTTTGCCTAGTGTGGGAAGGCTTTTTTGAGATCTGCCCTTTCTGTGTTTGCCAAGTGTTGGAGCGCTATTTTGAGATATGTCCTTTCTGTGTTTGCCAAGTGTGGGAGGGCTATTTTGAGATGTGCCCTTTCAGTGTTTGCCTAGTGTGGGAGGGCTATTTTGAGATTTGCCCTTTCTGTGTTTGCTATGGAGGGCTTTTTTGAGATATGCCCTATCTGTGTTTGCCTAGTGTGGGAAGGTTATTTTGTGATATGTCCTTTCTGTGTTTGTCTAGTGTGGGAGGGCTATTTTGAGATGTGCTCTTTCTGTGTTTGCCTACTGTGGGAAGGCTATTTTGAGATATGCCCTTTCTGTGTTTGTCTAGTGTTGGAGGGCTCTTTTGAGATGCCCTTTCTGTGTTTGCCTAGTGTGGAAGGCTATTTTGAGATACGCCCTTTCTATGTGGGGCATTAATCCTATAAGACAGTTTTTACTTTATTTTGAAGTAATTTCATGTTCCACATAGTCAAGTGTATTGATTCATGTTCACTATAGGGTAGAGTGGGGTAATTTCGACCACTTTTGCTGATTTATGGCTTTCAATCCACAAAACACGACTGTGACTGTTTTCAAATGTTCTAGTTTAAAATAAGTTCAAAGTACAAAAGAATGATTTTTCCTCATATTTTTCTGCTTTACAAGTTAGAAATGCATAAAAAATATCAAACTGGTCTAAAAAATTAGTAAGCATGTTGCACGGGTTAATTTCGACCAGCCTCGGGGTAATTTCGACCACAACAAACATCAAAAAGAAAGATAACTCTTGCAATGCAAGTAAACTTTACCTGTCGCATTTTATTCAAAATTTATGGTCCGAGAAACTATACTGCCTTATTTAGAAAATATGTGTATCCATCTCTATCTCTCTCAGTAAACAGATTAAAATGGATAAGTACTAGTATCCATACAGTAAAGAAATGGGCTGGGTAACATAAGCTTTTCAATGCTGTCTTACAGACGTCTTAATTCTTATTCTTTATTCTAAATTCTGCTTTTAATTCGCCAACTCTATAATTTAAAATTGTGATATATAGTTATGCAAATAGATAAAAAAAATTCTCAGATCCCACAAATAATTTCTTTGTTATGATTTTTAAATTGTCCAACCCAAAAGGGATTTATTTAATGTCGTCTTTTCACAACAGTCATTCAGATTGTATATATATATATGTATAAGGTTTGAGCATAGCATTAGAATTGCATATATTTTTCTTCACTAATTTTTACCATATATACATTCATTTGGAATGCGTTGTTAATATACGGCGTATTTTACGTGTTTTATTAATTCTTAAAAGAGATATATACTGAGAAATTCGATCAAGTCAATTAAATAAAGATTAACAGAAGCAAAGTCCTCTGTCCCCCCCCCCCCCCCAAACCAAAAAAAAAAATCCCAAACCCAAACAAATCATTTCATTTCAGTATTTCGAGTAACATCATAGTGGGTTTTTTTTGTTGTTTCAAGATTGTTGCGGCTCTTTTGGTGTGTTGTTCTGATATTTTGGGTACTATTTGGATTTTTTTTCTACCTGGACTGTGTGAAACGATCTTAATACGACTGGTTCGTTGGTTTTCGATAGCCTCAGTCTTATTCGTCAAAGTTTACGCATTCATGATGATGAAAAAAATACAAAAACCTGATTTTTTTTTATTTTTTTTTTTTATTATATTTAATATTGCCTGCACCCTCTCTTTTGTTAATCTGACGGGTTTGGAATCTTTTGGATTCCTCTCGTCATGTGTAAATTCAAAGCCAGTGCCGACTACGTGTTCTCTTGCACCTCGATCGGTGATGCACCCTGGTGAACGGCCCGAACAATATATATAGCTAAGCATGCATATGTTAATTTAATAATCTGACATTTTTTTTAACATAAAAGGTTATGTGTAGATAAAATTGTACATATACAGTATAATTATTTTTTTTTGGAAGATCTATTTCTGCATTGCATTAAACAGCTGTTGAAGACAACTTACACATATTTCAGAATAAGTGGTCAAATTTACCCCGCGTCCTTAAAATCAGTAGGGGTAATTTCGACCAAAATCAAATGGACGTTTCTTGTGCATTTTGAGAGAAATCCAAGATAAATTTGTAAAATTCTGCAACTTAAAGATATTCCAAGAAAAAATAAAACGATTTTAATTTAATTCGTGCTGTAGACTGTTGAACAAGATTAAACTTTGAAAAAGGTTGTACGAATTGTCTCTCTTGCATTTCCTTGATCAAATCAAGCGCACTGAAGACGGGGACTTCGAACGTCAAACTGGAGACATAAATGAAAAATATTTTTTTTATCTCTGATCAAGCCATATTTGCGATGAATAATTATACTAGGACATACAATTTGAGGAATAGTTTTCTATAATTCCGAATAATTTACTTGTCGCAACACTTCCGTAGATCTTTGTGTGGTGTTGTGTTCCTGTGGTCGAAATTAAATGGTTGGATGTCGAAATTACCCTGACTTACCCTAGAATTAAGGATTCACCAAAGGTTTCCAAATGCCAGAATTTAATTTGCATGTAATTCTTTCATTATCAAAGATAACATAATAAAAGTATATATCATTTGAAAGCTTGTTAAATTTACTATTTATTTATCCTAATTTAAACTTTAATTAATAACTTATTTAAAAAATTTTTAAATTTTTATGGAAATTTTAGTGCATAGATATTTTTTTAATCAACTTTTTTGTATTTAAAGTGGTCATTTTGCCTAAGGGTAGATTAAAGATTGAACTTAAAAACCGTATCTCAGATTTTTGATAAATCTTCTAATTCAAAAGTTACAGCCATTTGCCCTTCAATGTTACAATGTTACCAATTTATTAGCGTAATTTAACATTTCCCTCAATAATTCCAAAACTAAGCTAGATATCAAAAATCTGAGATACAGTATTGTGAACACACATTTGAGAAGCAACCAATCCAATTTTCAGAGAAATTGGTCAATAAATAAGGGAGCTGAATCCTTTGAAATAATACCACAAACTGTCTGATCTTACTTTACAGTAGAGGGCAAAAACCCATTACACAACAAAATCTGCCAAAGCTAGGAATATATAACACCTTCGAGATTCAGCTTTGGATACCTGTCACTTAGCCATATTTCCCATTCATATTCACAAGAATGGGAGGTTCTTTTCTGTATTTAGGTGCTTTTAATTAAGTAAAAATAGGTTCAACTCTGAATCAGGTCCACATTAATATCTTAAGTACATTGTAAGGGCTTGCAGAACTTTGTCTGGTGTCTAATGTGATTCAGTCTCCTAATTTCAAAACAGGAAGCATAAAACTACTCAGAATTAATCTACAGTAAAAAAGGCTTATAACGAAGTGCCAGGGGCGGACAATTTGGCTTCGTTTTAAATGTAATTCGTTATATCCCTTAAGTTTGCAATATATTTTAAAGTCATGAAGAATGAAATTCACTTCGCTGAAATGGCAATTCTTTATAAGCTTGTTCACTATAAGCATGTCTTACTGTATAATTTATTTCGATTTTGCCAATCAGGATGAACAGTTCACTGTTTGTAATTCTTTATAAGCTTGTTCACTATAAGCATGTCTTACTGTATAATTTATTTCAATTTTGCCAATCAGGATGAACAGTTGACTGTCTCTGATTCCATTGTTTACTCCACTCTTTTGTAATTTCAGAAGTCCAGTCAGGAGAGATGGTTACTCTCGGGGATACTCCCCTCCGCAGCGCTGGGGATCCCCATCTAGACGTCAGAGGTCTCCTCCCAGAAATTTGTCCCCAAGACGTAGATTAGATTCCCATGATTCCCCTCCCTACAGACGACGTATGGACTCAGAGGGATCACCTCCCAGACGAAGGGAATCATTAGGGTCACCTCCCAGACGAAGGGAGCCTGGCGGGTCATTAAGAAGGGATTCAAGGTCACCTGAAGGTTGGCGAAGTGCCAGGGAAGATTCACAACAGAGAAGGGGGCCTGTGTCAAGTAAATCTGATGTCAGACAGCGTAAGGGCCGTGAGAGGTCACCTGAGGTCAAGAAGGGTCGTGAGAGGTCACCAGAGGTTAGGAGAAGGTCGCCTGCCAAGGAGAGAAAGGAGAGTGAAAGTTCCTCTTCAGAGTCTGAGTCTGAATCTAGTGAAGCCTCGTCTCCAAAACGGAGAGGAGTGAAGGAGCAGTCCTCAGAGAGAAAACAGGTGGACAGGCGGAAACCAGAACCGGCCAGAAAACGTAAACAGTCTCCAGTCAGCAGAAAAGAGCGAGTCATTGCCAAGAAAGAACCAGAAGAAAGTGAAGATTCAGACTCAGAATCAGGAACTCCTTCACCCCCTCCAAGAAAACAACAGAGGGAAGGTACTCAGTTAAAATCTCATGTACGACGCGAAGATCCCGGAATACGTGGTAGAGAAAGAGAAGGGGAAAGGTCTCTGGGAAGCTCAAGGAGAGGAACTCGGCCATCACCTGAACCAAGGAAACAACTTCCTCCTAGAGATGAATCAGAGGACAGCGATAGTGAGAGTTCCGACTCCAGTGTACCTGAAAGAAGGCTGTCCCCACCCCCCAAAGAACGGGATGGGTCATCACGCAGGAGATCATCCCCACCCCCTAAGGAACGCAGGAGGTCATCCCCACCCCCCAGGGAAAGGGACGGGTCATCTCGTAGGAGGTCATCTCCACCAATGGGACGTGGGCGCTCGCCTGTTGAGCGACCCACACAGAGAGAAACATCAAGGCGTGAAAGGTCACCAGTCTCTCGTTCAACAAGGAGATCCCCCTCAGAAGAAAACCGATGGAAGAGATCCAGACGTCCATCTCCTTCCCCTCGACTCAGGGACAGGGAATCTCTATCACCCCCAGCCAGGCGGTCCAGATCACCACAAGTACGACGTAAAAAGTCGCATTCCCCAGAGGTCCGAGGATCCAGGTCACCACCAGCTCCAGAGAGGACATATTCCCCACGGGGCAAACGAAACCGAGGATTTAGTGGATCACAGAATTACCCTCAATCCAAGAGATCCCGTGATTTCAGTGCTGAGGTCAGGGGTGAGAGTTCAGATTTCAGAGGTCGTGGTAAAGAAGAGCAGAGTATGTACGAGCGCCGTGTGATGGGTGGACGATGGGAGGAAGATGATGTGCCGGGGGACAAAAGGGGAACCCCCTACATGGACGAGGAGGAGGAGGGGTACAAGAGGGTTGTCATGGTGAAGCCTCGAGAGGACAGGAAGGAGGAAAACATGGAAGAGATCCAAAACAGGGGAAAAACGGAGAAAAAGGAGGCTTCTGAGAGTGAATCCGAGGTATTGGAGGCTTAGTATTGCTTTGTTAGATGTAGCACTTTGTATACAGTTTTGATTTTATTCATAATGTCCCTACATTTTTTATGGTATATGCATTATATTTTGATTTCGTTGACTGACATCAATGAAGTAAATGTTCTTGTTAAGGAAGCTCGCTAACCACAGCTGTTGTTTTTAACAGGAATCTCAAACATCGAAGAAGAAAAAGAAGAAGGAAAAGAAGAAGCACAAGAAACACAAAAAACACAAGAAACACAAACACAAGAAGAACAACCCGAAGGGGCCTGAAGGAGAAGTGAGTTATACAGATTATCAGTCGGATGGGGGGGGGGGGGCTTTAGGATCTGCTTGTAGAGGAGTGTAATACAGATTGTCAGGAGGAGTGGGGACTTTAGGGTCTGATTTTCAGGAGGGTTGAAGGGGGGGGGGCTTTAGGGTCTGATTGTAGAGGTGGGAGAAGCAGTAGAGGGGCATATTTGTAAGTCTGTACACCAAGTTTCTGCTCAATACCTTGAAAAACCTTTCTTTTGCTTTTGGTACACTTGTACCCCCAATTAAAGGAATAGATGATCGGTTTTGAGGTCACATGGTCAATGGTTAAACTGGACACAAGAAGACCTGTGGTTTATACCTTGTTTTCTGCTCTGTATAGAACGTGTTAAGAGTCTAAATTGAGAGGTCGTTTTATATGATTCAAGTGAGTTTCCTGTAAATAACTTCGCTGTATGTCTGTAATAGATCTTTATCCAATATTGATGTGAGGTTGTTTTGTTGATTGATATGATTTTGTTATACACAGGAGATGGTACTGATGTCATGACCTTACTTTGTTGATATGATTTTTTCTATACAGGAATCAGACAGCCAGGAAGATCTGGAGGCCCTGGAGAAACGATTAAGAGAGAGGGCGCTGCAGTCAATCCAGTCTAAAGAGGAAGTGGAACGTGAACGACAACTCCGAGAAAAGGCGCTACAGTCTATGAAACGTCGCAGTGGGCCAGACAGCAGTGACGAGGACTCGGACTGAAGTGATGTCACAATGTAAAGTGAAGTCACAATGTACAGTGATGTCACAATGTACAGTGATGTCACAGTGTAAAGTGATATCACAATGTAAAGTGAAGTCGCAATGTACAGTGATGTCACAATGTACAGTGATGTCACAATGTACAGTGATGTCACAATGTAAGGGGGGGGGGGGTATCCCATGGAGAAATAAGAAAGTAGAAATTCCAATGAGTCCGGGAAATCTTGTGACATAAAATAAATTGACTGAATTTCGCACATCATGAAAACAGAGGAATATTGGTGTGGAATTTTTTTTTTCAATTTATGAAATATATCGTGTTTTGATTTACCACACATGAATTATTTTATGGCTGTCATTTTCTTTTATTAAGATTTAAACAATGTTGCAGACTTGATCAGTGATTTAAGAATTTATTTAGTCATTTTTGCTTATGTCTGTTCATTCTTATTATAATATGCAGAATTTTTTTTCATCCTGCTGAAAGTATCATGTTTGATCTATGAAATGCTGTAGATAATTTGTGATTTTAGTACATACTGATATTCTTGTTAATTAATGTGTGAGAGTGGAGTAATGGTGTAGACTTGTGATGCTTATAACATACAAAAATAAACATATTTAGAATGTACTTCGTGGAATTATTTCATTGCTGATATGTAAAAATAATGATATTGTCCGAGTTCAATTGAACAGGAAATATATTAAATGAATTTGATTGAACAAATTGAACAAATACTGCATTGGACATAATTGGTAATGTTATAAATAAGATGTATAGTTTGACACTAGTTTTTCCTCCAACTTTTAGGGTGCAGGTCTGGATCTTGATTACTCCTGGATATTGATAAGTCAAATTGGCATGACTGTAATAAGCATTGAGCCCTCTACCAAAATTGTGAAATTCATGGCCCGAGGGTCAGGGGTTCTGGAGTTAGATGAAGCTACATGTATATACATCATATAGTGAAAGTACATTATTTCTTTGAAAATCTTCTTCTCTGCTCATTGGTATTAAGCTAACAACTATATGCATAGCTATGATGAGCAAGGGTATCTCTTCCAAAACTGTGAATTTCATGGCCCCTGGGTTAGGGGTTTTGGTGTTAGGTGGGGCTCTATTAATTGATTATATAGTTATGCTCCTGCAAATTGTGCAGTTAAACTACATGGTTATGATGAAGTGTGCCTTTTCCAAAATTGTGAAATTTGTGGCACCAGTGTCAGGGGTTTTGGTGTTGGAAGGGGGACTCGATTGTTAATAGAGTGAAAACGTATTATTTCTTGAAAGTCTACTTTGCTCCTGGGTACTAAGTAAAGAAACTAAATGCATTGTTACGATGAGCAAGGGTACCTATTCCACATAAATTTCACCTTTCCTGTTCAGTGATTTTTAAAAGATGGCATTAATTTTACACTAATTTGTAATTACCTGCCCTTTGAAGAAGGTATCCTTCATTTGAACAATTTTAATCAGCTTTACCTAAGAATACTTCGTAGCATGTTTGGTTTACATTGGCCCAGGGGTTCTTCAAAAGAAGTCAAAATTTTGAAAAGTTTACAAATGAACGGATATACAGGCATACAGCTGGACAGATGCTTGTAAAAATGTGATAAAAACTCATTTGGGCCTTCGGCTAAGGCAAACTAAAAAGACGGGAAACTATCTAATAAAGGAATAAAAACAAAGTAATTTTTGCCATATAAAATGTATGTACATTTGATATTTTTGAAACAACAACAAAATTGATTCATTTGTGTTCAACTTAAGGTATTCAATGTATAAAGAAGGAATTTTGTACAATTTTGAATCGTTTTAAACTAGTTAAAAATGCATTGCTAGATAACGATGAAAGTGAAATGAGCCGAATTCACATGACTGATAACAAATAAGAAGCTGATCATTTTGCACCTGAAAAGTTTTTGAAGAGTTATCTGCCCTATGAAAAGAAGAAAATTTTAATTTTCTCAAAATGTCTGTGGTAAATGGTTCATTTTATTTCACATTTTAATAAAAAGAGAGTCTATGCATATTTTCACCAAGAGATTTGTATGAAATTCACATTACCTTTTACAATATCTTAATAAAACATAGACGTCAATGTAAAATTTAAGGTGCAATTAATTGGACAGTAATTAAAATTTTGTAAATTCCTTTGGTGGGGTATATTAATTTCATAACACCTTCAAAATGTTACTATGATTAATCATTTCGGACCATTCATTTATTAGGTACAAAATATGGTCGTTATACATTGAATACCTTAATGTCATTACAGCAATATGATGGATAATTGCATCAGTGTTCATTATTATAAACTGTAATAACAGTCATACGTTATCATTTTTGGAATAATCACTTTAGTAACAAATAACAAATATAATACCTCTATACAATTGGCAAAATTTCAAAACACAATAAAGGTAAAATTTCAAATTTCTATTAATATCTCTTCACAAATTGAAAATAAAACCGAATTTTCATCGTGTGTATTTGAATGTTATCCAAAATTGCAACTTTAAGCTTCTTAAATCTGATTGTTAAATAATAATTAGGGATGGTCACGAATATTTGAACATTCGAATATTCATTCGATGAGTTGATATTCAAATATGGATTTAAGATTCGAATATTCGGTGTTTTTCGGATTTCATAAAAAGAAGTACTGTGATTAATAAATTTTGATTAGAACATTTCTGGAATTATCCCTGTTTAATTTACTAGCGATCAATTTCGATCGCCTGATTTCTTTCACTACTTTCTTAGCTTATAAATCTACTAAATAACATGTGTTTTGTTTTGAGTAAGGTGTTGAAGAGTTGTACAATAACGCTTTATATATGTATAATACAAAACGTACTTTCCTAGTTTTTATTAGTTAGATACGATCGGATCTAGAATCGAGGACAACAAATGAAATATAAGAATGTCTAAAAGGCGTGAAGAGTATACTTATCAAAATAAAAATTAATTTATCATTGAATGAGTGTCCGATAGAATTAATCTGTAATTGATATTGTAAAGGGCTTAATTTCAGAATCGCCATTTTCACAGTATTTGTGCTAATTGTGTTGCACTTGGACCAAAAATAAAAAGTCAAACAGCACGTTATTGACATGTTTTCTAGAAAGTACAATACCTATGCAAATGAGTCCCAAATTTTTTTTTTATATAGGCATTCTTAAGAAAAAAGTTATGCGAAGTCAAATTTTGGGCGAGACCTTGTGTTGCGGACACTACATTACACCTGTTATGTCTAAAATAAAATTTATCTCCCTTCCTTAAGTTTATCTACTTTAACAATCACACATAAGACCTATATAATTATCATGTGAAAATTAAATTGAATACTTCTAAATTTCAAATACATTTGTCATAACACCCTGGATATCTTCGTTTGTATCTTGTCTGAGCTTTGAAAATGCATAGCATTTTTGTTGCGGACACTACAAGTAACCATAAGAATAATCTTTTGTCATTTTTATAAAAATAATTGCTGATAAATGTTCATTTCTAGGCTGAATTATATACCACAGGATCAACTCTTGAAAATGTATCATATAAAAAGATGCAGAATGTGGTTTATTGAGATGAAAATAACCACATAACAAGGACCATTAATTATTTCTTGATGTATAATTGTTTTGCAGTTTTAAAAAATGTCTACGATTTTACTTATTTTAATACAATTAAAGAAGTTATAACAAATAGTTTTATAGATAAATTCAATGAATTAAAGAATTTACTGAGGCATCCATAATTTTTTTCAGTATTGAAATTGTTGCAGACACTACAATATATTGAAATATTGCTATATGACACCATATTTGGTTTTAATGGAGTAAACTGAAAATTTTAATCTCTAACTAGTTCTATATGTACAGTAAATGGTGTTATATTATAGGGAAAGAAAAAAGGCTAGTCGAAAATGGCTTTCCGGCCTGGAAAATAAAACCCATATATATACCAGTAAGATTGAAGTGTTATCTTGTACAAAAATCACCATTTGTTATCATAATCCAGTTAACTAATTGTATTATCAAAGGAGCAAAATATCAGAGAAATGTTTTACATTTCAAAAATATTTAATGAAATAAAAAAAGTGAAAATAATAAATGAATGTGGTATAAATGTGGTATATAGTTATTACTGTAGTGTCCGCAACACAACTGTATTAATTAGAACTAGACTTATTAATTAACAATTAACATCTTGATATATTCTTTAGTTTCCACTTATTCAGTTTTAAATACCACATGAAAATTATCTTTCAATATATAACATAAGACTGACAATTGAAAGATTTTGAATATTATGTATAAACAAGTCGTTATGGGTGTTTTTCAAAGTATGAAGTTATAGTTCCACTAAGTTTTGTAACCTTACATATTTGTATTGAATATTTGGACAATTAAAGTGATGATCAGTTGAAATCATGTTACATTTCTTTGAAGAAACTGTGAATTTAAAAAGCTGTTGCGGACTCAACAGCGTTGCGGACTCTACAAAACACAATATATTTGCCAGAATTCCAAGCAACACTGAGCTAAAGTCTGATATTTTTTGGTAGATAGATTAGTAGCTGTACTGGCCTCTTACATGTAAAATAAAAGAAATATAATTCATAATGCATTCCAGAATAAGCACATGTTGCGGACACTACAGAATTTTGGGACATTTTTATGCCAGTAAGAAGAAAGTGTGTCATTTTCTAAAGTTCGCAAAATATACCCCATATTTTAGGTAGTAAATCTTTAATATTTTTATTGTCTAGAACATGGGAGTGTTATATATCATTTAAGTTGTTAGAGGTACCATTTTGTCATAATTTGGTCATAATTGTTAAGGGTTTAATCATATATTTTGATGCAGAGTGCATTATAACATAAGTGAGTATGAAAAAACACAAATACTGTGAAAATGGCAAATAAATTTGTAAATTACTTAATTGATTATCTCGGGTTGTACATAATCCTGAATTTTATATCATTATCAGGAAATTAGTCAATTACCTAGGAAAATTGTCTATGGAAATATTTGTTTACATTGTATCAAAGATTATAATCATATCTCTTATCAGGCAGATAATTGTAATTTATTACACGTATTGAAATCTGAACAGTATACAGTTACAACTACCTTGCCTTTTGTAAGACGACTGGTTCCTCAGTTGGAGCTACTATAAATACATGTTTCATTTGTTAAAATTATACTTTTCTACATTTAAATCAATTATTTATTTCAAACATTGACAAATATCAAATGGAATTTCTTATTGTACACTTACAAAAGTCTTCATACAATTTTACTTCCAATATAAGTATACCTACTCTAAACTTTTCATGAGAGTAGGATGATGCATATTTAAGATAAAACAGATTTTAACTATTTTATCGAATATTCGAATATATTCGAATACTTTCATTGAATATTCGAACATGAATAACTGACAAAATTGACATCCCTAATAATAATTAAGTTATCAATGTCTAAAATTTTGAATAAAGTATGTTCTCAAATTTTTGGACATGGGGCCAGGTTGATAAAAGAATCTTTGACATTTCACAAGCTATGCGTATTAATTACTTTACACATCAGCAACTGATACAAATCACATATTAAAAACATTTTCTATTCTCTCAAAATCGACTTCGTCTTTGAATTCTTTGATTGCAGCAAGGAGCTTCTTCACACTCGCTTGTCCCCCCTCCTTCCTTTTCCACTCACAAAGTATTTGAAACACCTGTATCTTCACACCGTGATTCTGGTAATCAATCCTGATTTGTTGGATTGTAGCATTGTCTAAGCCAAGACCAATCCCTATTTGGAAAATTGCCCCAATTTGTCCACTGACCATCATCAGTTCTTTATCTGTTGGTCTTCGTTCTAAAGAATCAACTGAAAAGTTTTCTTTTTAATTAAATATAAACAGTACAGTACAAACAGAAACTAATGTGTTTCCTCCTAAAATAATAGTCCTTGTCATGACTATAACTTATGACTTTGATAAACCTGAGTAAAGGTCAAGATTTGCAGCTCTCCACCGGCAAGTGGTGGCGTCTCCATATGAGTGAAAAATTCTCGAGAGGGACGTTAAACAACATACAAACAAATTACATCTGTCTTTATTCAACCCATAAAAATTGGGTTACAGTTTGGGTTATTGGCACATGGAATGCTGGATAGGAAAAACATCCTTATTGAACAATATATGTAGAATTATATATTATACTTGAAGATCATGAGATGGTTTGACTCTGTATAGCCATGAATTTCCAAAAAATGAGTCATAGATACCTAATTAGGGGTTACACCGAGACATACTCTAGGCACCTTTTCCACGGGGTCATAACTCCAAGCAATCACAATATCAGATTACATGTAATACGTAAGGGAAAAAAATACAATTTTTCTTGTATTGCAATTTAATGTCCTTAAGTACGCTGTGATAAAATTGAAAATTTGTGACAACGTATGTAGATGAAGTAACCCCATGCAGAAAAAATGTACGTCTACGTACAAGATTTGATTGTTTGTATGAAGCGTCGATTGACAATGGTTTTCCTTTGGGTGTCTATTTCAACTGTTACCCTCAAAAACATGCACTATTTATATAATATTAAACAGTTCTTTATATAAACATTTAAATAAAATAGAAGTAAGAGTGGACACTGAAGTAACGTACCTGGACTAAGAAGTCTTCTCTCCTCGTCCAAATTCTTTTGTTGCTGTTCCTGTGTGATAAAGAAATCATATCTCTTCATTACTTAACATACAAATTCCCTCACTTGATCTATGGAAGTCTGTATTAAATATTGCCTTAATGAAAGAACATACAAATTTTCGATTCATTTAGCATTAAAATATCAAGGTGTTGAAAAAAAGTCATAAATCATCTATACCAAATCCTAAAGTTCATAGAAATATTTTGTTTTCAACAGAATTATTTCATTTTTTTAAAACTGAATATTATGCAGAAAATTTGATTTTCATTAAAAATTGATATAATTGTCATTATAGTTGAGACTTCCAAAATCTGGTTATATCTTTTAATAATGTTACATAATGCTTTTCTAATTACAAAAATCAAAAAAAAAAAAAAAAAAAAAAAAAAGAAATTGGTGGCAACCTTTTGCTATTTCTTTTGTATTTATTTTTAATCATGTTAATTAAAGACCCTATTCTACAAATTACCTGTTTCCAATATTTTGTGATGTCTCTGGTGTTAATTATATGAATGTTCTTTTGTATTTATTTTTAATCATGTTAATTAAAGACCCTATTCTACAAATTACCTGTTTCCAATATTTTGTGATGTCTCTTGTATTAATAACATGAATGTTCTTTTGTTTACAGGAAGGACACTGAAAAGTTGCTTGAGAAAACTCTGATTCACTTAGGACAGCACTCTCTCTGTTGTCACAAAATCCAGCAGGTTTACATTTGAACGCAACGCGGAATTCAGAGTTTTCCTGGAATGTGTTTGAAAGATCGTGTAACACACTCTCAAGTATTTCTCTTATTTGGTGACATTTTGAAACATCAACATCTCCCTCTACAACAAACACCTGCAACTGAATTTCTGTCTGGGTCATTCCGATCAGAACGTTATGGTGGCGGTCCTGATACATGAACTTAGCCGCAGTCTGGTAAATGCATCCTCGGTCCTCAAAGGAAAAAATCTTTGAAGTATTCTGCATGCAAATCGCTACAAGGCGATGGAAAATTCCAGCAGGGAGAACATCAAACGTGTAGCAGAGGATGGATGAGGCAGGGTATGATGCAAATGCACCTATGGGAAATGGTGTTTTGTTCATACAAGGAACATACCATTTTTTGCCATCTATTTTAGCCAAGAGCCCTAGCTTCTCCATGTACAGCATAATATCATCTTTGTGTTCAAGGTATTCATTATTGTTCATTTTCCAAATCCTGGACAGCAAAGTGTCACTCAATTCTCCAGTGTCATCAAATTGGTCCCACTCTGATGTAAACTCAAGTAAATCCTCCTTTGCATGGTTTTTATCAGTAATTACATTTTTGAATGCATCTGCAAACCACTGAACATCAAGAATGATTACTTCTCTCAGAAATTCTTGGTTGAAATACAAGATTTCTCTGATATCATGGAAAAACTGCAGCATGGTATTGATATCTTCAACTGTCTCCAATTTAATTTCCTTTGGTAAGACTTCATTGAAAGCCAGAAGTATTCTTTTATTGATTATTTTAAGGTATTTCTTCTCCTGGAAGAAGTTTTCAAACATAGCCCATGAATGCGGAAGCATTTCACCCCAGTGATCAAGTTTCTGAACAACATCAACAATTGACAGTTTGATTTTTTCAATGCCTTCATTTTCATGGAATCCTATTGCAAATCCCCTCGTCTTGTCAAGATGCCCCTGCAGGGTGTTAGTTTTTGTTTTCAAAGCCTTCCATATCTCACGGAAAAATTCTGCTTTTTCCTAGTAAAAAAGATATTTTTTGAGAGTAGATCCTTCTTTTAAGCACATGTTCAACTATAAAAGGGATATAGTGTAAGCAAGCAAATAAAACTAAAGGTTCTGTGGGCAAGCTAGCAAATTTACACCCCTTCTCATTTTCTTATTCCTTGCATCCAATGATTTTTTTCCTTAAAAAAATATGGAGTCAATGCTAGGTTTACTTTTCTGCCAAAAATGACCTCAGCTTAAGATCATATCACCCCATAAGATCAAAGTAATATCTGGCTTTAACACTCATGATAAGATTAAACTTCCATGTTTTTATTTGTTAGAAAAAAATGGACAGGACATGAAATAAATAGTTTTCTGTGAGCGACCTTGAACTTGTATCTAGGACTTGTTTTAATGATTTATTTATAAATTGTTTGGGCATTAGTAACATTTGTGTGAAGTGTAAACATCTAACCTGTCTAATAAAATGTAATTGCCATGAAATAGAATTTTCTTGTGACCTTGAAGGCTCTAACTTGTCAATGACCTTGATGAGATCTAATCTTTGTCTGAACAATGGGTCAAAATTCAAAATTTAATAAATATTGTTTGAAGTCTGAACTTCCATTTCTTTCCATTAGAACGTTGAGTGAACATTTTTTTTTTTACTGTCAGTGGCCTTGAATCTGACCGGGTCAAGATCCAGTCAAACCTTCTGATCACAAGCAATCTTTCCATAAATTATGAAGTTTTTCTCCTTAAGAAAGTGATGCACCGGACACCAAATTTTACAGACTTTTTTGACAGAGACCTTGAACTTGTATGACCCTTGGTCAAAGTTCATGAGAAATTCTCAAATTATAACCAATCTCTGGTTCAAGTACGAGTTACTTATGTTTCTTCCTTAGACAGAAGGACAAACTGATGTCTCCATAGTAACCAAACTTTATTTGCAGGAGACATGAGAACATTTCTATTTAAAAAGGTAAAAAGACTATATTTCTGTAAAATTCACAATCAAGTTTTGTTTTGTAATTTTTCGCACAAATTATCTTGAAATACCTGTTCTGTTTTTTCCTCAGCATGAGTGCCAACCAGTAAAACTGGAGCCTTTTCACTGCTGTATTGATGAATGGATTTTGTCCAGAACGTCAGATAATCTGAGAAAAATAAACATACATGTTAGTGCTAGATCTTTCGTACATTACAAGTGTATTCCTTGTGATAAGCTCATTCTTTGGTACAAATATTTTTGACTTAAGACTTTTACCTTTGAGTCTAACTCACTTTTAAAAGATTAAAACTTGGCCATAAGTTTGAATGGTTGGAGCTAGAGCTTTCATTTTATTTGTGAATTTTTTGTTACAAGACCTTTCCTTGAAAACCAAAAATTTGAACCTTTGACCTTGAAGTTTGGCCCACTTTTGAAAAAGTTTTCCCTTGGTTATAACTTTTGGACAGTTTGTGCTAGGGCTTTCATTTTTCACAGGTAATTTTCTTGTTGCAAGACCTTCCTTTGGGTATCAACAATTCTGACCTTTTGACCCAGAACTTGACCAACTTTTTAAAAAAATTACCTTGGCTATTACTTTTAAATGGTTGGTCTTAGGTAGTTCATGTTTCACATGTCTATTCTTTGTGACAAGTCCTTCCCTCGGATACCAGCAGATTTGACCCTTTGTCTTTGACATACTTTTGAAAACTTTAACCTTGGTCACAACTTTAGAATGGTTGGTGCTACAACTTTTAAATTTCTTAAATGCATCATTTATTACAAGACTTTCCCATTGACAGAACTGATTTTGACCCTTTGACTTTTACATCGAGTTTGACCTACTTTGAAAAACTTTAACCTTGGTCATAACATTTGAATGGTTTGCGCTAGGGCACTCTCTTTCAAAGGTTTATTCCTTGTAACTCCATTGAGTACCAACATTTTTGATCTCTTGTCACTGACCTTGAAGTTTGACTTGCATGTGAGAAACTATAACATTTGCTATGAGCTGCAGAAAGGGCATCAGTGTTTCACAAACACATCTTGTTTTTAGAAATGTGTTAGACTTTCTGCACACAATATATTTTGTACAAATCCAAACCTCTGTGTGTCCATCCTTTATAAATGGAACGTTCCTGGCTACACACTTCTTCTCCAACCATTTCATCAAAGTTTTTCTCCATATTGAGCACCAGAATGAAGAATGCACGTGGACTAAGAAAAATCTGGTGTGAGGAATAATATGAACACTGTCCCGCAAAATCAACCATGGAGATTTTTTTCTCTGGTTCATCCAAAACTTGTCTGGAGACTCGTAAAATTCCCCAACTTTCTGAATTCTTAGCAACAGTTTGAGTTTCTTCAACTTTTTCCTCTGTCTTTTCAAACAATGGAGCAGCGGCTTCATCTCCTTTGAGTGACTCGGTTTCTGTGTTTGTGCTGTCATGTGACATATCTTTATCATTAGCGGCCTTGCTGGCAGTGTCTTCTTCATTATCCCCTGGGTCATCAATATCTAGCGATTTCATCTTATTGGATATTTCTTCATGAAGTTCTGGAACCCTTTGATGTTGACTTGTTTCCTTAAATCTAACCTTAATGCGTTGTTTTTGGTCTGATGAATTTACTGTAAGAAATATTTAAATTCATAAAGATCAGCTATTAAACCAAATTATTAATTCCCCCCCCCCCCCACCACCACCAAAAAAAACAAAAAAAAAAACAAAAAAAAAAAAACAAGAGGCCCAAGGGCCTTTACGGTCACCTGAGTATTATACAACACTGTAAAGGATCCATAGAAGTATAAAACAAAATTAACTGATAGACGAAGCAATGTTGCCCAAGAATTTCAAAATCTGGTAAAAATACCCTTGCTTATTGTAATGTGCTAGACTCCAGTGATCTCCTTGGGATCATACTTGGTTTTCCAAAGTCTTACAGGGATGATAATGAATGCAAAATATACAAATACAATGGACATTTGCTTATTGTGAAATGTATTCATTATATACAGATATGTTTTTGTCACTTGCCTAGTGCTACAATTCAGTACACACAGACTTGGGTAATCAATGTGGCTATCTGCCACTATCTACAGTAAGTCACTTCGGCTCTCTTTGATTCTTTGTTCACTTTGATAGAGCATAAAACAACTACATCTAGTCTCTTGTCATCCATGACTCTTCTACCAGTGATCACCTCAGTGTAAACATATGTTTGCTGAATATAATCTTTATGTCAATCTTTCACACTGTTTATCAGGCAAGAATCTGACTTTGAGCATGCTTTGCTCATTTAAACCAAACATTCATTTTTAATTTTTTCTTTGTATATATAACATTCTTTCTTGTATTCTCATTCAATCAAATAACTTGTTAATTAAAGTTTATACAAGGATTTCTTGATTAACAACATTTAGCAAAGGGGAGTAACTCTAATTTGCCTCATTTATCACAATTCTGTGCTCTGTTTGCCTCTTAGATACCCAGAAGCAAAGAAACGGCACATTTACTTATAATTACATTTATATCTAATACATTTACATTGATATTATTGCATTTAGTTTGCTTAGTACTCGGGGGCAGAGGAGAAGTTTTTCAAAGCATTATTGCAGTTTTGCTAATTAATCAATAGAGCCCCACCCAAGTGCAAGAACCCCTGACCCAGGGGCCATGAAATTCTTAATTTTGGAGAGGCATCCTTTCTCATCATAACTATGTATTAAGTTTGATCAATTAATACCAAGGGACAGAGGAGAAGATTTTCAAAGCATTAATTATTTTCAGTATATAATAAATAAGCCCCCCCCCCTCACAACCCCCAAATGGAACCCCTGACCCAGGGGCCATGAAATTCACCATTTTGGTAGAGGCACTCTTCCTCATTATAACTATGTACTTAATTCATCAGCTTTATACCCAGGAGCAGAGGAAAAGATTTTGAAAGACTAAATGCATTTTCACTATAAAATCATTAGAGCCCTGCCCTAACACCAGAACCCCTGACCCAAGGGCCAAGAAATTCACAATTTTGGAAGAGGCATTCTTCCTCATCATAACTATGTACGTAGTTCATCAGCTAAATACCTAGGAGCAGAGGAGAATATTTTTAAAGAATTAATGCATTTTCACTATATAATCATTAAAGCCCCACCCTAGCGCCAGAACCCCTGACCCTGGGGCCATGAATTTCACAATTTTGGTAAAGGGTTCAATGCTTATTACAATCATGTAAACAGTTTGACTACTTGATGTCCAGGAGTAGAGAAGAAGATTTTTAAAGATTGCATTACTTTTAGTGGTTTTGGCCCCACCCCTCAGGCCCCAGGGGGGCAGGGACCATGAAATTCATAATTTTTGTTTCCCTTTACCCATAAATGCTTTATGCCAAAATTGGTTGAAATTGGTTGAGCGGTTGCAGAGAAGAAGCTGAAAATGTTCAAATGTTAGCACACGACGCACACCGCACGACGACAGACAAAACGGATAGCAATAGGTCACCTGAGTTTACTCAGGTGACCTAAAAAAAAAATGAAAGCTGCACTATATGTATGAAATACTAAGTTTGGTCACATTATGGTATGCATTCAATGTTTTACATTAGTTTAAGTCATTAACATAGTGTCAATAAATTTTACATGATTGTTATGGAAATGAGAGTTTTAAATAATGAAATAGAACAAGAGGCCCATTGGCCACATCGCTCACCTGAGCACTGTAGCTATAAAAAAAAAGCAGAAATCAGTTTAGTATTGAAGAATTTAAATGCACCAGTGGTCCCGAACTACCCTTAAAGGGGAGGAGGGGGTCAGAGTGGGTATGATTTGAACAGACATGAGTCTACACTAAGTAAGGATGCTAGCATATTTCTTTGACTACCTTTGACTTTTTTCCCCTTTAAGTTTGAACTTTCATTGTGGTCCCACCCTACCCCTGGGGTCATGATTTGAACAAATCTGAATCTACACTACCTGAGGATGCTACCATATAAATATGATCAATCATGGCTTTGCTGTTCCTGAGAGGAAGATTTTTAAAGATTTTTCCTCTATATTTCTATGTTAAACTTTTGATTGTCGATTGTGGCCCCACCCTAACACCAGGGGTCATGATTTCAGCAAAACTGAATCTACACTACCTGAGGATACTTCCATATAGATATGACCAATCATGGCTTTGCTGTTCTTGAGAAGATTTTTTTAAGATTCTTCCTTTATATTCCTATGTAAAAATTTGATCGCCCATTGTGGCCCCACCCTATCCTTGAGGGTCATAATTTGAACAAATTTAAATCTAAACTACCTGAGGATGCTTCCATATCAAAATGACTAATCATGGCTTTGCTTTTTTTGAGAAGATTTTCAAAGATTTTTTTTTCTTAAGGTAGGTTGCGGGTTTACTGCATAAAAATTCTTACAAGAAAACATACCCTGAAAATTTGATATAATGTTCCATAGAATTTGCGGCATATTACCTGAAATTTTTATTGAATTTGCCTACGTGGTTTTAATGCTGTATTACTGTAAGTTTTTGGTACTATTTTTACGCTTTACTATAGAAATGTATAGGAAAATGACGTTTTTAAAACAATTATACCGAAAGAGTTTCTGTAGAAAAGGTCGGAAAAATTTTTAAAGACGTAGACAAATTACTCAGAAATTTCCAAATATAAAGATGAGGTAAAATTAAAACTATTGAGGTAAAAAAAAATCAATATGTCTATTCGCTATTTTTTTTTTTTTTTTTTTTTTTGCTAAATAATTTTATTTTTGACTAAAACGTCATGTATTGAACATAATAGTGTTAACATATAAGTATTTTTATATTTGGAATATACAAGATCTAAAAGGTGACATAGAGGCACACTGTAATTCTATTCAGCATTTCACTTATTGTGAAAACGTGTTAGGAAGAACAGCAACTTAACATGTATTATGAAATTCATATTCTGCCAATGAAGTCAGAATGAACAGAATATTAAAATAAACATATTTCGTGCACAAGAATTAATATGCAGCGACAACACTGCGACTGATAATAAATTTATTCATGTAATGTTAAGTTCAAGTATAACACGTGAATTTTATCACTTCATTCGAAATCGGTAAAGAAAACAAGAGGCCCAGGGGCCACATCGCTCACCTGAGCACTATGGCTAGGAAAAAGCAGAAATCAGTTCAGTCTTGAAAGGTTGAAAAGTTTAAATAAAAAAGGTGGTTCGGGGGGAAAGGGAGGGGGGGGGGCATGAATTGAACAAATTTGAATCTTCATTAACTGAGGATGCTTCCATTTAAATATGACCAATCATGGCTTTGGTGTTCTTGAGTAGATGATTTTTAAAGATTTTTCCTATGTATTCCTATGTAAAACTTTGATCATCCATTGTGGCCCCACCCTACCCCAGGGGTCTTGTTTGAACAAATTTGAATCTAAACTATCTAAGAATGCTTCCATATAAATATGACCAATCATGGCTTTGCTTTCTTAAGAAATAGTTTTTTTTAAAAAGATTTTTACTAAGTATTCCTATGTAAAACTTTGATCTCCCATTGTGGCCCCACCCGACCCCCTGGGGTCATGATTTGAACAAACTTGAATCTACACTTCCTGGGGATGCTACCATGTAAATATGACCAATCATGGCTTTGCTGTTCTTGAGAAAAAGATTTTTAAAAATTTTCCCTATATATTCCTATGTGAAAATTTGATCGCCAATTGTGGCCCCACCCGACCCCCGGGGGTCATGATTTGAACAAACCTGAATCCACACTATCTGAGGATGCTTCCACGTAAATTTCATATTTTCAAGCTTAGTGGTTCTTGATAAAAAGATTTTTTAATGATGCCATTAATTTTTCACAAATTCTTAATTATCTCCCCTTGGAAGAAGGCGTGGCCCTTCATTTGAACAAACTTGAATCCCCTTTACCCAAGGATACTTTGTGGCAAGTTTGCTTGAAATTGGCCCAGTGGTTCTGGAGAAGAAGTCGAAAATGTGAAAAGTTTACAGACGGACAGACAGACAGACGGACTACAGACAAAATGTGATCAGAAAATCAGAAAAGCTCACTTGAGCCTTCGGCTCAGGTGAGCTATAAAACACCCCACTACTGTGGGGGGGGGGGGGGGAGCTACCAACAATGTTCTTTATATCAATCGCAATCAGTATATAGTCCAAACTCTCAAATATTTGAAACATTTGTTCTTTCTTGTTTTTTTTTTCTTTATCAATTTTTCAACGGCAAAATGTAAAATACTTGCATTCAGCTTATACACAGACGGCTAAATTTTGTTATACAAAAAAATTGTACTTGATACTTGTATTTTCGTAATGCATGTAGTATTTTATTATCTGTTTATAGTGTCATAAAGGTCCGATATGCCGGGTGTTTGTATAAATCTATTTCAACATGTTTAATGCATTTCACTATGATAAATCAATCCCTTGCTAGCCTGCATATAGAGAATGACTGTATCAGATTCAAATACAAAATAATTTTTTTTAAAAAAGAGGAAAATGCATGTAATTAAATTTCATCCGGTTTTAGTGTTGAGGATTGATTTTATCCAAAAAATAACAAATTTGGTTTTTTTTTTCCGGCCGTGATGAGCAAACATGGTGCATTATGCATTTTCCATTCATTGCAAATTACGTGCATACATAAGCCTTTCAATTTTTCGGCTTAGCAATTTATGGTAACTTTCATTTTGCATGCCATATCTTTAATTTAACACTGACTCATTTTGATTGACCTTCAGCAGTTTAGTATCATTTACAATATAAATTATTCCTTGCATTTTGCATCGCATTTATTATGTTTTATTAGTTTGTTCTTATACATTACACATATACTCAGAGCAGAATTCAAACTTATAATACTCTTGGTTCATACATTTACGACAATACAATTACAGACAATAACATGTACTTTCTAAGCTTCGTATGGACTATATTCTATTGCTAAAGTAATTTTCAAAGAAATAAACGGGAAGCAATGCAACGTTGCCTTTCTGAAGTAACTGACGTCATAATAAAATGTGCACAAAACAATTGCTCAAATCGTCAAAATTGTGTACCGAAATTGATGACAAAAGCAAAACTGCAACCTACCTTAAATATTCTTATGTAAAACTTTGATACCCCATGGCATCCCCATCCTACCCCGGGGGGGGGGGGGGGGTCATTATTTGAACAAATTTGAACCAAGACAACATGAGAATCCTTCCAGATCAATATGACTAACCATGGCTTTGCTGTTCTTGAGAAGAAGATTTTTAAAACATGCCAACAAATTTTCACTATTTCTTAATTATCCCAATTGAATGAGTAAGTGACCCTTCATTTGAACAAACTTGAATTCGCTTTACCCAAGGATGCTTTGTGGCAAGTTTGGTTGAAATTTGCCCAGTGGTTCTGGAGGAGAAGTCGAAAATGTGAAAAGTTAACAGACGGCAGACAGCTAGACAGACAGACAGTTAGACTGACAAAATGTGATTAGTAAAGCTCACATGAGCTTTCAGCTCAGGTTAGCTGAAAAAGAAGTAACACACTGTTTTACACTAAAGCAATGAATTTTTTTTTTCTCCTCTCTTCACACACTTTTCTGATTTGGTATATTTTGCCTTGCATCTTATGCACAACAACGTGAAAAGTCATAAAGCACATATATGTCCTTACTTATCATACAGGCCTGTAGTATGCACGTGCACCCCTCCACACATTTTCTGAGAAAAATATTTGATATAGTTTTACAATTTGTAAATTGTCATTTTGAAGCTACTCCCCCCTTTAAACAGCCACAGCTTCCTAGCTTCAATCAATTATATTAATTTGTTTTCCTTTCTTACTTCATTTTTATTAAAAAAAACTATTTAAAGAATCTTCATTATCATGTCATATAAATCCATTCAAATGTTACCTATATGTAGGTACATTCCACATTTATTTCGACTATTGCTTCCAAACTTTTTAATTACAAGAAAACTTTACAGTGCCAGGATGTCGTATATCTGAAACATAATCCTCCATCGTGTTCATGTTCTTCTTAAGCCTATTACTATAGTCCTGCTGGACACATTATTACTGGTGACATCAATATAGTTAATAATGAGGACCTTAGAACACTAATTTTAAAAGGTCCTAAATTTAGGGAACCCCAATCCTTCAACTGGCATCGGAATTTCATAAATATTATGGATTCTGTAGAGGATTACACCAAGCGATGGGCCAAACATGGAAAAGAAGACCTTGACACTTTGTCAGAATGGATTAAATGTATCAGATGTATGTTAAAATCACGCATTAAAAGACTGAAGGGCAATATGAAAACCATCAATCCTTCTGTATTCAATAATCCAGGAGTGAAAAAAGAATTAGATAGATTACATGATCAGTACGTACTGGGCCCTGCTGACAAAACAGGTAACAAAATTCTCTTTGTTTGTAAGGCTCATTATATCAAAATAAAATGTATTTTAGAGGAACTTGGATTTAATTCTACAAGTGGTAATCCAACTCATACTCATAATTCCCTTTCTAAGGAAGAAACTGCTTCAAAATCATATGTCAGTTTTGAATATTTTTATTATTCCAAACAACCAAAATGAATTTGAATTACCATATCTATATTGGATTCCGAAACTTCATAAAAATCCTTACAAACAAAGATACATAGTGGGTTCCAGTAAATGGTCTACCAAGCCTCTTTCTTTACTCCTCACTGAGATATTAACAGTAGTGAAGGAAAAATTTCAAGAGTACTGTGCAACAATATATTCGAGAAGTGGTGTAAATCAGATGTGGATTCTTAAAAATTCCAAGGAACTTTTGAAAAATTTGAAATCACAAGATTTTAGCAAAATCAACAGCTTAAAATCTTATGACTTTTCAACTTTTTACACATCCATTCCCGATGATAAATTAAAGTCCAGGCTTTTTGATATCATTGACAGCTGCTTTTTCAATAACAAGAGGCCCAAGGGCCTTGAATCACACTTCTGATAAACTGTACAACTTATCACTTCAAATTGAAGCCTCTAAGTAACCTGTATATTTAGATAAAGCCTTGAAATTCCAAAGGTAGGTCATCATGACCTAAATTTAAGATGAAACACTCTGAAAACTTACCATGATTCTAAGCCAATTAGTACCCGAGACTAGAGTAGGTCAGGGTGACCTACTTATCACTTGACATTCTCTGAGGACCCAAGATGCATCAACTAAGTTTGATGATTCTAAGCCAATTAATACCTAAAATATTTTTAAAATTATAACCATAAAATTTCAAAAGTAAGTCACAGTGACCTACTTTTCAGATGACATACTTTGAGGAACCAAGATGCATCAACTGACAAAGTTTGATGATTCTAAGCCAATAAGTACCTGATATATTTAAATAAACCCATAAAATTTCAAAAGTAGGTCACCCTCAAAAGTAGGTCAGGGTGACCTACTTTTCAGTCGTCTTACTCCAAGGACCCAAGATGCATCAACTTACAAAGTTTGATGATTCTAAGCCAATAAGTACCTGAAATATTTAATTAAAGCCATAAATTTTCAAAAGTAGGTCACGGTGACCTACTTTTCAATTGTTGTACTCCGAGGACCCAAGATCCATCAACTGACAAAGTTTGATGATTCTAAGCCAATTTGTATCCAAAATATTTAATTATAGTCATATAAATTGAAAAGTAGGTCACGGTGACCTACTTTTAAGTTGACGTTTTTTTGAGGACCCAAGATGCATCTACTTACAAAGTTTTATGGTTAAAGGCCTTAAAATGTTGAATTCATTCCTCTAAAACGCTTTGAAATCAAATGCCTGCAAAGTTCAAAAAGTAGGTCACTTGTTTAAGAGTCACAACCCTAGTTTTAGTATAAATGGGAGCCCTTGGGCCAAGGATACCCTATGACAAATTTGACAATAATTGGCCAAGGGGTTCTTGAGTTATGGCCCATAATCTAAAAAGTTTACGCACACCGCACAAATGGCCATAGCATTAGCTCTTTGACCCTTTGGCTCAGAAGAGCTAAAAATGGAACTCGTAAATTTACTTACCTTGTCATTGGTCATTTGCAAAATTATTTTGTTAAAAAACATTCTGATTGTACACACAAGTACTCTGAAGTTGACATTAAAAAGAAGCTTGAGTTTCTGATTGACAACATCTATGTGGTTTTTGGAGACCAGGTCTTCCAACAATCTATTGGAATTCCTATGGGTACCAATTGCGCCCCGTTATTAGCAGACCTATTTATGTATTCATATGAAGCAGAATTTGTCCAAAATCTTATGCGTGAAAAAAAGAAAACACTTGCTGTGACCTTCAACTCGACATTTAGATATATCGACGACGTATTGTCAATTAACAATGGTTATTTCCATTTTTATCTCGATACGTTATATCCCGGTGAGCTTGAGAAAAAAGATACCTCAGAGTCTGACACATCTGTTTCATATTTGGATATTTTACTTGAAAAAGACGTTAATGGTAATCTAACAACTAAGCTTTATGATAAACGTGATGACTTTAACTTTTCAATCGTCAACTTCCCTTACGTATGCAGCAACATACCTTAATCACCTGCATACGGGGTTTATATCTCTCAGTTGATTCGATACCCAAGAGCATGCTCTACGTATGTACAATTTCTAAAATGAGGTAAATTATTGACAAACAAGTTGATGAAACAAGATTATCAGCAGTCTCGTTTAAAGTCATCATTTTGTAAGTTCTATGGTCGATACAATGACCTTGTCAGCAAATACAATTTATCATCAAGTCAAATGCTGACTGATGTTTTTCATACTAATTGTTTGGCCATTATTTACACACTGAATTGTCGACGGATTTTTCCGTTATATCCTGATCATGACAAGGAGCGCACAGCGGGTGAGACCGGTTGGCAGGGGATGCTCACTCCTCCATGGCACCTGGTCCCACCTCTGATGTTTTGGAGGTCCGTGTTTGCTCTGCTCCTATTTTGTATTGTTTGATGGACTTTTGACATGTTTGAGCTTGAATACTGTTCGTTACTCCATATATTTCATGCATAATGCTAAAAAAATTTTTAATTAGTAACAGAATTTCATTGTGTATTCTGTTGGGTAAAATATTTTACGGTTATAAAATCTTGACTTATAACATGTACATGTAAAGTGATAATAATTTAAATTCACTAAAAAACTTAAGAGACGAGTATGATTTAAAAATATTTCATTTATTTTAGAATTCAAACAATACCTTTGATGGTGTCTGACACATCAAAGACATCGGACTGAATGTCTATTCCTCTGGTGGATCTTGTGTTATTCAGGATATCTTTCACGTCAATGCCTTTTAATCTTCCAAGTAACGTTGTTTTTCCACTGCCTCCGCATCCTATTAACATCCCAGTGGCGTGGTACATCGTTGTCTTTCCTTTCTTGAGATTTTCCAGGAAATTCTTTACTGAATCATCTCCTCTCATTATGACCTGCATTGGTATCCCAACTGAAAATAAAGTAGTTATTGTTTTTTTTTCCTTTGTGAAACATACTACCTTTTTTCTTACCATACACATGTTCCTTTAGGATCGCGTAAAGCAACAATGTCAAAAGGTACGACTTTTTCAACATTTTATACAACCATTCCCCGCGATGAATTAAAATCAAGGCTCTTGACATGGTAGACAGCTGCTTTTCAATACAAGAGGTCCATGGGCCACACCGCTCACCTGAGCACTTTCAAGATTGGCTAGTTGACTATGAATAAAAGCAAAATTTGTTCAATATTGAAAAGTTTAATATATAAGTGGTCCCAACCTATCAAGGGGGGGGGGGGGAGCGGGGGTTGCATGATTTGAACAAACTTGGATCTTAACTAACTGAAGATGGTTCTTTATTTACATTTAAGATTTTGAAAACTTTATGATTTTAATTATCTTACCTATATATCCTAATGTATAAATTTGATGCACTGTTGTGACCCCTCCCTATCCCCCGGGGTCATGATTTGAACAATCTTGAACCCGAGGATGCTTCTGTATTAATATGACCAATCATAGCTTTGATGTTCTAAAGATAAAGGACTTTTTAATGTTCTTTTTTATCTATTCCAATTTAAAATTTTGGTTGCCCTTAATGGCCCAACTTACCCCCGGGGATCACGATTTACACAAAACTGAATCTACACTACCTGATGAGGATGCTTCCATATAAATATGACCAATCATGGCTTTGCTGTTCTTGAGAAGGAGATTTTTAAAGATTTTTCCTATGTATTCCTATGTAAAACTTTGATCATCCATTGTGGCCCTACCCCCGGGAGTTATGATTTGAACAAAATTAAATCTACACTACCCAATGATACTTCCATATAAATATGACCAATCATGTCTTTGCTGTTCTTGAGAAGAAAATTTAAAAAAAATCCTTTTTAAACCTCTGATTATCAATTGTGGCCCCACCCAACCCCTGGGGGTCATGATTTGGACAAATTTGAATCTCCACTTTCTGAGGATGCTTCCACACAAGTTTCAGCTTTCCTGGCCTAGGTCTTGAGAAGAAGATTTTTTAAAAATGCCATTGATTTTTCACTAATTTGTAATTATCTCCCTTTGATAGAAAGTGTGAACAAACTTGAATTCACCTTACCCAAGAATGCTTTGTGGCAAGTTTGGTTGAAATTGGTAAACAAGTTATCTCCTTTTATGTCACAAGTTCGTTTAGCATTTTAACTCCTTGTGTCACCTGCAGCGCAGAGCAACACCTAGGGATAACTTTACTTGGTGTTTGTCTGTCTGTCACACCAGGTTATATCTTGAGAACTATAAGAGGAGTGTATATAAAGCTTGGCACCATGGCTTTTCTAAAATACTTGGTTTACCTGACTCCTTACCTTTGAACAGTACCTTTAACCTAATTCTTAAATCATATTTCAATATACAATATAAAAACTTTCAGTTTGAGTTTCCAGAAATTTTTATATAAAATTGATTTACAATGTTCTTACGTTCTACGTGATGTATATCCATTTTCACTAATATTTCTTCTTCTAGACTCTTATTTCAGACAATGTAACTAAAAACCAGAAGTCTCTGATGAGACTGTACCTCTACTCCTCTGTACGTATAACAAAGTAGTACTTGGATTTGAAACTTTGCAACATGCATTGCTAAATAGAATTATGCATCTTAATGTAGTCTACTTCTGTGCCAAGTTAAATCAAACAAAAACTGTAGGAGGAGTAGCATTTTGAAAGTATTTCAAAGAAATTTCTAATTTTAGTATCCATGACAACACTATTCACTGAAATCAAAACCAAAATACATATTATGTATCGTAATGTATTCTAATTGTGTGCCAAATTAGATTGAAATCAATCCAAAACTGTATGAAGAGTAACGTTTTAAAAAAACACTGTTGATCAAAATCAAAATCTGATGCACTAAATAATGTATCTTAGTGTGTGTAGTATTCTTTTATGCAAAGTTATATTAGAATGAGACCAAAACTGTAGGAGGAGAAGTGTTTTTAAGAAATTTCATAGAAATTTCTATTTTTAGTAACCATGGCAACACCGTTCATCAAAATCAAAAAACGATGCATCAAATTGTGTATCAAAGTGAAGTCCACTTGTGTTCCAAGTTATATTAAAATGAAACCAAAACTGGAGGAGGAGGAGCATTTTAAAGGAATTTCACACAAATTTCTATTTTTAGTAACCATGGCAACACCGTTCATTGAAATCAAAAACTGATGCACTGAATTATGTATCTTAGTGTAGTCTATTTGTCTGCCCAGTAATATTGAAGTCAGACCAAAACTGTAGGAGGAGTTGCGTTTTAAAGGAATTTCACAGAAATTTCTATTTTTAGTAACCATGGCAACACCGCTCATCGAAATTAAAAACCGATGCACTAAATTATGTATCTTAGTGTAGTTTACTTGTGTGCCAAATTATATTGAAATCAGACCAAAACTGGAGGAGGAGTAGCATTTTGAAAAATTGTTTACAGACAGACGGACTGACAGACAGACAGACAGACGGACGGTTGACGGACACCTTACTATCGCATAAGCTCTTCTGGTCTCTGACCAGTAGAGCTAAAAAACAAGCTTTATCTATTATCATCCTTGCACCATGTAGAGAGCTATAAATGGTGTTGATTTTCACATCTCAGTATCAATTACCAACAGATTAGAATGCATTCATGGACTGTCTATATACCCATGTTGTAATCTATACTTGTAACATGGATAAAAAATATTATTTAATAATTCGCAAGGAAAGACAGTTTGCGGTTGTACGTACACATAGTAACTGTGTTTTCAATTAATCCACTTCGAGAGGAAAATTAATTTTTCAGAAATATTGCTAAAAAAAAAAATATAGTGCTTTGTATCCAGTACGCAACTTTATTTTCAGTACTCCTTTTCACCGAACCCACCAGTTCTGTGAATATTTTATTCCTATCAGCATGTTTTGCGTGGTAGTTAATATCATACCTAAACAAGTTAAAATTGATGTAAAACAAAAAATGTCAATAAAAATTTAACTGAAGCATTTCAAAGTATTTCCACAAGAAAGACTCCGAAAATACACTTGAGTTTTTTAATGACATATTTATATTCCAAAGTAGAAAAGTATGAAATTTTTATTTCAAAAAAGTAATATTTGCAAATCAGATACACATATTGTGAGATCAACGGAAAAAACTTTAATTTTCGGTGCAAAATACATTATAAATCATGTATATAAAAATCAGAGATTAAAGGGTAGCCCTGAATGTTTTATTATCAAACGAAGAAGACAACTATAATACCCTTATACTGAAAATATACATTTACCAATTATCTCCTACAAAATGACATAAGCTTTTCGGGTGCTAATTTGCTAGATTTTTGTCACATGATGATGCCGATATGTTGCACAGCGCGATGAATGTGAAGTGTTAAAAAATGTGTAATGCACAGCTGTAGCATATTCAAAACAAAATGTAATAAACTAAGTCAAGTTTTATTTATCATAAATTAGTACTGGCGATTGTGTAAATATCTTGCACACTCCATCTAAAGTACTTCTTGAAAAATCCTTTCTGTAAAATCGTAAATATATAAAACTCTTATGAATATGAGGGAAAAAATTAAAAAATACTAAAATCAATTCAGACAGAATATTTAGTTATTTTTAAGATCTTTGATTCATAACTTTAATAAATATGTTATCAATGAGAAATTATTTTATCGAAGCAATAAAAATAACATCTTATTTTTCCGAGTGCACTTCAATTTCTAACAAATCAAATCACAGTAACCAACAGCTAATCTTCAGTCTGAAACATTTTAACACGGAATGAATTTATTAAAATGGTCGCCAGAACTTTTTTAGCTGTCAGTATTGCACATTTAGGGGAGGAATATCAGAGACATTTTCAAGTGTTCAAAACTTTTCAAAATACACATTTTCCAACAAATGTATAGCTACATGTATAGTCTGAAAACTCGTCGACCATCCCCCCTCCAGTTGCTTGTGATTTACATGCAAAGCTACCTCTTATGGACTCCTAAGGTGATGGAGAAGTGTATAGATATTGAATAAAGTCAAGCATAAACCGAGGCACCCCAGGAATCCAAGATGACGAGTGTCAAACCTTCTGTTTTTTTATATACAGAAGTCTGATCTTTTTTTAAAGTTCTACAGTGTAATTTCAGCGACTTTGTATATTAATGAATGAATTCAGACACAACTAGAAAATTATGAAACCAAGCGCCTATGGTTGAATAACATCAATCACTGTGGGCTTTTTAAACTTTCTAAAAGACTTTTTAAAGATACAAGAGAAAGAAGTGATAGTGAAATATTTTGTCTAACATTTGGTGAGCCACGTTAACAAAATTTAAGAGAAACTATATGTTATTGCCTTATTTACATTTTTATTGATACTTTTACTAAAACGGAGAATTGTGGCTAATAAAGCCATTTTAATTTGAAGGTTAGCAAATTAGGATTGACACTTGAAATTTCTATATACATGCATAACTGTTTTTTTGTGTGTAATTTAAAATCTTTTCGAGAACTTTTCACTCATATTGAGAACCACCACTTGTCTGTAGAGGGCTGCAAAGGACAAGGTGCGTTTGGCACAAAATTTGGCCCCGTGTCAAAATTAAATAATATTCCTTAAAACTCTTTGAGAGAGTATATATTTTCATGAAATTATCAATATATGCATGTACAAAGCTTTATTTATGTTTTAGATAAACGTAAAAGTAGCATAGTTTACTATAACGTTGTGATATTTTGTTGCTTTATGCGACGTCATTAACAAGAATGGGACGTTATGTTTTAAAATAAATCCAGCTTACATGTATATTTTACTATATTTACATTTGCTGTATTTTTCTACTAAGCCAGCTGTGAAATTGATTTGAAAGTCATTTTTGTGCATACTCAAGCGTAGAAATATACACGGTGAAACTCGCGCTAAAATGACGTCACAATGAGGCTAC